ATTACATATCATAATCACCTTTCACAAATCTACCCACCAAGTGTGCTGATCGAGTAACTATCACCGTGTCGGTTTGTTAGCATGCAATATTCTATTAGGACACTACGCGCCTTATCGCAGGTTGTACCGGAGGGCGTGATGTCCTGCTTGTTAATTCCGTCGTATTAAGATCACATAACGGTAGTTTGCGACCACAACATCCTCGATTACCGGCCGAGGATGTATGATATTACTCATTTCTAGATTTGTCATAATACCAGAGAGAAAGTCCATCTGCAAGACTTAGCTATTATAATGCTACTTGAGATTTTGCATCACAGAATTCTGTTTACCTAGGGGCTATATATTTTTATTGTTCCATTGATAGGCCTCAGACCACAGTTATCCCCCCTAAGTTTTACCATGAACCGGAAGGAAAATAGGAGAATATAGTACCCAGTTGAAATGGGCTGTTCAGCCTGTGGCAATTTTTTTGGAGTGACTTGTGATAGCTTAAATGAAAGATAAGACATTGTAGTTTGCTGTCAATTTTTTGTAAGCCCCAATCTGTGAAGGTATTGATTCCAGCTTCCCATGATTTGACCCCAAGTTGAAGGCCGCTGTGTGTGTTTCGGCTCGAAACTTCCGGTGAGCATTGTTGACAGTGGTTACTGCGAAAGCAAGGTGGTGGATCCTGGACGTAAGTTTGCGTTTTAAGTGACAAGTGGCAGGTTGGTCAGCATGCAACAGGAGAACAGCCTACGACTGATAATAATTATGGTGGGCTGTCATGTCACTGTAGATAGCAAAGAAGGAAATTAATTGTGGTCTGAGGCCATATATATAGGAGGTAGCTCGAACCTCGGGGTATCGCGGTACTTGTCATGTACGCTAAACGGAACAAAATGCACTCACTAACCTTTATGATTATTCGTGTTCTCTGTTTCAGATATCATTCATTTTTATCAAACAATGCATATTTTTCTGAGAAAAGTTCATTATTTACATTATAGTAGCTCCGAGTAAAAGCCGGGCCTCATGCTCAGTTTGACAAGGGAGAGAACTCCATCGTATCGCGGTACAGAGAAAAGTTGTGTACGGAGGTCCGAATTGGACAAAAAGAGGACATAATTCTACCAACCACTTGGTATGATCATGCCAGACATCAGTGATTTGTCCAGACAAGTGCAAAGACAGCACAAGTAAAATTCTAAATGTGTTTTCAGCAATAGGTATTCAATGCATTTTTACCGAAAAGTAAAAGAAAATATTTTTATAAGTCAACAACAAAATATCAGAAATGATATTTTAAGATTGTTTAAAAAAAAATGGATCACAATAATTTGTCACAAAATGGGAAAATGTTAAAAGTCAACAATAAAAAAGCCCTCCTTGTATGCCCAAAGTATGTATTTATCTTTTGGTTACTAGTGAAGAACGTATTTCTAAGTTTGGCATTATGGCCCTTATGATCTCCCAATAGATTCTGGGCACAGAGCGGGAAAAAATGTGCGGACTACGTAACTACCGTTACCTCATTAGTCTCCATGAATATGCAGATGATCTAGTTCAGGTCGATAGAGAAAGTTTACTTGGGGAACTGCGGGTTATATCGTTGGCCATTGATAGATGGGGGTAAGGCAATATTACAACAGATGCCAGAAATATGTATCAACGGATTAATAACTCCTTACTTACAGAAGACGGAACATTCCGAGGAAATTGAAATTGTTTACGAAGTGAGCACTTCCTGGTTACCGATTTGCATTAATAGACAGCCGCTAAGAGGCGTGTCCCGCGAGAACTATCGGAAATCACAAATGCCGCGATACGATGAATGCCGCGGTACCATGAGGTCCGAGTATATATATTTTTATCTACTGACTAATCACGTGTTCCTGTGTTCTGTACAAACCAGTTTGTTGTTTGTTTGTTTGTTGTTTAACGCCACACTCAGCAATATTCCTGCTACATGACGGCAGTCTGTAAATAATCTGTAAATGATCGAGTCAGTGAATGACATCATGAGCATCGGTCCACGCAATTGGGATCGATGACATGTATCAACCAACCCGACCCCGTTAGTCGCCTCTTATACGACAACATAGTCGCCTTTTACTGCAAGCATGGGTTTCTGAAGACCTATGCTACCCCGGATCTTCACGGGTAGCATTCGTCACCACTCGCCCCTTTCCGTTACCTGCGGCTTGTCCCGGAATAACACGAGTTGGTCACGAATGCACGGGTGGTACTAACCATAGTGGCTACAACGGGATCTGGACAGTCCGTGCGTTCACGGAGATCCGAAATTCTGGCGGACTGGTACACAAATGTTGGAGAACCCATACCCACCCGTACCTAATCAACTGAATGACTCGTACCTACAAAAAGCGTTTTCGTACACATTGAACATTTACAAGATTTTAATCATTATTCGCTTCCGCAGCAACGACCGGATTATAATGGATATTTGACACTGTAGATTTGGCGACCCGGATGTTAAGTATTTCGTTAGTATTTCCAAAGATGTATATAGATCTATATACGTCTTTGGTATTTCCACTCGCTTTTTGAAAACTATCAGTTCTATTGCAAACCATTGACTAAACACGTGTTCAACTAGACTTTGTTTTGTGTTTCATATAAGCCACACATGATAATTACATGTTACACCGGCCGAATTCCAAGAAATTGTGTGGGACAGCGAATGCGTTACTTGGTGCTCATTCCAAGGGATAACCATCAGTTACCCAAAGACGTACATATACATACATACATCTACATACATGCGGGGTTGAATAGGTCTTCTGCAACCCATTCTTGCCGTAAATGGCGACTTATGCCTGTCGTTAGAGGCGACTAACGGGATCAGGGGGTCAAGGTCGCTGACTTGGTTGATGCATATCATCGTATTACATGTACAGTTGCGTGGAGCGATGCTCATGATGTCAATCACTGGATTGTCTTGTTCAGACTCGATTATTTACACAGACCGCCGTCATACTCATCGACATTGTGAGTAAAATGTGAATTGAATGTTTAAAAGTAGGCACTAATGTCATATTTAATATATCCGTAAATTAATTAACTCATTAATGAGTAAATTATACAGCTCATCCTTGGACTTCTGTATTTTACCTCTATTACTTTCAGTTTTACTCCCTACAACTTAAGTGTTTTGGTGTGGTGGTTTACATCTGTTGAGCATATTATTTATTATTCAACCCTACTTGAAGATTCCGGGGTAGAATAGGTCTTCAGCAACCCATGCGTGCCGTAAAAGGCGACTATGCTTCTCGTAAAAGGCGACTAACGGGATCGGGTGGTCAAGCTCGCTGACTTGGTTGATACATGTCATCGGTCCCAATTGCGTGGATCGATGCTCATGATATTAATCACTGGATTGTCTGGTCCAGACTCGATTATTTACAGACAGCCGTCATATAGCTGGAATATTGCTGCGTGCGGCGTTAAACAACAAACCAACCAACCAAAATCAACCCCACCTACCTACTAAATACTACTACATAAATGGTTCTCATCGTTATTAATAATAGAGGTGGCGTTTCGCCTGACAATTAGTCACCGTTTTCGCCCCAGAAATCGATGACGCTTTGCTGAGGTGCCGTTTTAGCCTGCACCCGCGTGATATCGTTGGCGACAGTGGTACCATATATAAATCGCTCTGTACAGGAAAAATCTTTGTTTTGCCCAATAGACAATATTTTATGAATGAAAAATACCCAGAATTCCCATATATTTACGTAGCTATAACCATATAACCTTATGATACACACACACGCACGCCCACACGCACACACTGCTGAATATATCACGGGTTTTGTTATGAATTCTACTTCAGATTCCCGTTGATACACGAACACACAAGAGTACACTTATCACCCATGAAGAATAATATTAGCTGTAGTGAATATGCAGGGACTTCTATGTTGTTAACGCCGCTCGGGAATATTCCCGGAAAATGACTGCAGCGTAAAAATAATCAAGTCTCGATCAGACAATCCAGTGATTAATATTTTGAGCAACGATCACGCAGTCGGGGTAGTCACGCAGACTCGGTTATTTCCAGACCGCCGTCATAACCAATCGACGTTGTGAGTAAAATGTGAATTGAATGTTTAAAAGTAGGCACTAATGTCATATTTAATATATCCGTAAATTAATTAATTCATTAATGAGTAAATTATACAGCGTGAAAATAATCAAGTCTCGATCAGACAATCCAGTGATTAATATTTTGAGCAACGATCACGCAGTCGGAGTACCAGGCTACGCAATTAAGTCACCGAGCCTGACCTCTTACGACAGTGCAGGTTGGTGCGGACCTATTCTAACCTAGGATTCCCGCGGATTTCCAGTATGACGGTGACAATGACACACAGTGACAGGACATAATGTATTATGTCTTAACAATCATGTCCCCCAGTAATGTCAGCGAACAAGGACTACATTTCTAAAAGGGCAAGAAAAATCAGTGTTGTTTTCTTCAGTCCTCATATAATGTATAATTTCCAACCTGTTTTTAGTTTAAAAACTAGAACTGTCAGTTACTCATCCCCCCCCCCCCCCCCTCCCTCCTTTTGCCGATCCCCCACTTTCGTTGTCATGCCCAGAATCCCCGACCACCTTCCCAATGATTAATAACCAGTCCTGTAATTGCCTCGAAATTATATCACAATCCGTAAACATGTTGAAATCCTATATGTAACTATAATATTTTCGTATTGTTGTGACATATTAACAGGCTTACATTTGTATTCCTAAATTCGCCCAAGAGTCGACATGTGAGTAGATATATGGTACACCAACCACACAGACCGTGGGGGTCATACAGCGTACATACCACTCGATAAAGCTCGGCAATTCTCCCGCATGTCGCTGTAGATATCGACCCTATCTTACACCTGTTAACTTCCCTGTATTGAGAACGGGCTATTGTATACACGTACTCACAACACTCTACTACAACACTGCTATACAGTGATTTCACATTAACCTACCTTTAATTTCCCGTCAGTGAAAACTGTTGCGATCGTGTCCAACTGTCTAACTCTACCACACAGCGAAACTGCGACTTTACAAGTCTCGGCGACCGTGATTCCCGGAAATTGTGCGAATGTGGGTCATGTTTGCTAGTGCGAGGCGAGATTTATACGTTACACAGAAGTGATATCGGACAGTTGAAAATTTTGCTCAGGTAACAGGGGAGGCTTTTGGCTTGACTCTAAAATCTGAAGACGATACGTCTAGGGCGGATCCAAGGGGGAGGGTGGTAGTCAGTGTATGAGGGGTTGCTCCTTTTAAACAGCTGGCTGTCGTGTGAACCTGTCGTATTTATGTAAACGTCGCGACCCGGTATAATGTGCGGTCCCCTCTCCCCCCTACACATCTCCTCCGCCCCCTTTTCTAAATCCCACATCCGCGCCAGGGTCCGTCTAATAACTTCTTAAAACTGTAATGTAAATCCCGTTTACAAGTTCAATCCTCGTTTAATTTGTCTTGATTTTTCGTTTGCCGGGTATGTTATATGTTTGTTTGTTTGTTTGTTGTTCAACGCCGTACTGATCAATGTTCCAGCTATAAGACGGCGGTCTGTAAATAATCGAATCTGGACCAGACAATCCAGTGATAAATATCATGAACATCTATTTACGCAACTGGGATACGATGATATGCATCAACCAAGTCAGCGAGCCTGACCACCCTTGCCGCTAGTCGCCTCTTACGACAAGCATAGTCGCATTTTACGGCAAGCATGGGCTGCTGAAGACCTATGAAGTTTATTGAGAAAACAGTAAGTGAAATACTAGACTTTCGTCACTGATAACATCTATGAAAAACAGACAAGACAAGAAGTAAGCATCCCAATGGGCAGCAACTGTGTTCCCATCATGCTGATCTGTTTTTTATACATATGAATCGGAATCTCTGCTCGGACTGGAGCTTCAGGAATATGATAATCTGATATCGTTCAATGACCATGAAATATTCATCAATTCCCTTCTATTGATTTACCCACCGAACTAGAAATAGAGGAGACCAGTGAGGCTGCCTCATCTGTTTCATATTTAGATCTATATGCATAAACACACTCTCTACATTCTATATGACAAGAGGGGGACTTTCCCTTTATGTCGAGCAATTTTCCTACAGCTCCAGCCGTTGGTGTCTACATTTCACAACGTTTGAGGAGCAATCGAATACTAGTATGCTCTTGCTCAGAAGTTTGATCAAGGTTACAACATTCAAGGCCTCAAGATTTCAAAAAACCTCTTTGGACATGTTGAGGACATTTCAAAATTTGACGCATCAGTGACAAGAATGATGTCCGATGCAATTCCCTATTTTGAGTTGTACTGTATGTTCCAGTGTTATTTTAGGTTAAAATATTCCATGCCTTTGCATGTGTTTGTGACGGAAGCCGCCGGCGGAGCAGGATACGCTCACCTTTTCGATAACGTCACTGTTTGCTTGTGATTCATAAACGCAAAGTCGGAATCGCCCAATCGATCGATTCTGCTTTTGGCAGAGATTTCTTTTGAATATGGAAAGGACTCTGTCGCTTATATTTTAATCTAAATACTGAATTACCACAGGGGCTGTGTCACTGAGAGCAACCAAACCCTTTCTATTATCAGTAAAAAAGCAGAGTCCATCGTCCGATTTTGACTTTCACGTCGATAATTTATGAGGCCTCTTCTTATAATGATAAGTAGAGACCTGACTCAGTAGCGGGGAATTGTACATTTTAGGAACCTTGAAAAGAGAAGAAAACCACGAGAACAGTGTTTTGATGTGATTCCGTTTACTACGTGAGCGCAAGTGATGATTATAATTACAAAATAATTATAAAGATGTTATGCTATACAAAAAGCAATAAAACAAATAAATGTTAAAATTATCTGTGAGTATTATATTTTAGAATAACTACGGCAATAGGTTTAAAATATTTTTAGACTTACTGCAGTCGTCACGTGTTTTCTTATTAACATAGTTTATACACTTAACTGATGTACAAAAAACAGAGTGACATATAAAAAATAATAACAAACATGTAAACATCATAGTCATACGACATGAATGACAGCAAAGGCTCTCAGTCCATAGAGATTACAAGTATGGCCGGAACCATAACACGTCATCTCGGTTTACTCTAGGTTTAACTCGTATGCTTAACCTAGCTTATTAATTTACTAAGTGTTTATCAAATACATATAACTTGATAATAAAATACCACAGAGACCCCAATAAGCCAAACGAAGACACATACACGTTTGTACAACTGTAGCGCCAAAGGGAGATAATCATTGCTGGATAATTGTCATGCGTCCCTATGAATCTCCGCACAGCGATACGTTCGCGGAGTTCTCTATACTATCGCTGCCACCAGTGAAAACTCCCCACTGTGATAGGTAGCCCCAACTATGCTTGGAGTTGAACTCGCAACCGAATGACCGTTATGTTTACAAACAAGTCACGACTGTCGTGACGCCGAATACACTTACCGCTGATAAATTACTTTCTTTGTTTGTCAATTTGAATTTCTATTTCGTTAAAACTATCATCTTTAATTGATATGGTAAGAATGTAAGGAAGAAGTTGGTTGATTTTCCGTTAGTCTGCCATCTCGAACCAATCTGTTTATTAAAACAACAAAGTAAATCTGGAAAACATGGTCAGTTGTAAACCTTTTCAAAATGAAATATGATGGCATTCCCAAAGACATAAACAAATTTTAAAGTATAAACGTTACTACATATGGTGTTAGAGGGCAAATTTCAAGATTCTTGTAATGGCCGCGCCCACACTGGTGGCAGTGATGTTACCGAGGGTGTAGACTAAAATCTAGTCTCTGAAATGAACATATCGTACATAAAAAAACCAGTTGTTCAGTTATCTTAATAAAAATATAATAAAAAGGAGCCCAGTGACTCTCTTCATTTTCAGATTTCCTGATACTGCAGTGATCTAGACTTGCCAAACATTATAGACTTGCATGGGCTGTATTTGATATATATTTGTATCAGGGTCTGTAAGACAGACTACCGAGGGTGTAACGAAGGCGTCACGCGCTGGGAAGGAGCTTGGCGTCCCTAGTAACGAAGGGAGATAATTCAGTATGAACTTTACTACGATCAACAAAGTTTTCCTAGTTACTAAGAGAAGTAATTTATAATAACACAATCTTGGATGAAATAAAATTTGTTTTAGTACAACGTTGGCTATTTTCCTATCAGCATAGCATGCATATTTGACATGCCAGATAAAAAATATGTAACATTGTTATTACAAGTCCAAAACTTGAAATATGTTATTGACGTACATTTTACATATTCATCGAAAGCTAAATGCAGCTTGTGATACATGCAACATGATGTAAATACACCAATATAACACAATACAATACAATAGTGTACACACATATATAAAGTACAAATGATGACGATGTGAACAGTTCACCTTGAAAGGAGAAGAACCCTATCCCACTAACACAGTGTTTTGACATGATTCCGCTTATTGCGATCATCCTACCGGGTACCCATTCACTGCTTGGTGAACAGAGCCATGCTTGCCCAAGCCCGTGTGTTGCATGTGCTTCGGTGTGGGGCAGGACCGAAGCCCAAGAATCTCCCAGGAGCCAAGCTGCCGAAACGCGGTCACCAATCCAAGGACTCCCCTCCACGACCGACGTTGCTTACCTTCACCTGATTTGTGACCTGTGGGTTGTGCACAGGACCACGTGCACCACGACGGTTACGTTGGTTTGGTTGGTATGTTGTTTAACGCCGCACTCAGCAATATTCCAGCTATATGACGACGGTCTGTAAATAATCCGAGTCTGTACCAGACAATCCAGTGATTGATATCATTAACATCGATCCACGCAATTGGGGTCGATGACATGCATCAACCAAGTCAGCGAGCCTGACCACCCGATCCCGTTAGTCGCCTTTCACGACAAGCATAGTCGTCTTTTACGCCAAGCATGGTTTGCTGAAGACCTATTCTACCCCGGATCTTCACGGGTCACGACGGTTACGACTTGTGGGTGTCCTCCATATATACCCCTTAACCCCGGAACTCAGCTTTTTGTCACGCCCACAGTTTCCTTTCAAAATGATCAGTTCTCATAATAAATTATAAGGCGCAAGTGTTAGTAAGTTCATTGTGTGGACAGTAATGGTCGGAGATGTGAGCTACAGTTGCACACAAGTTAAATTTCGTATATTATTACACTGCAATACACACATAAATTTTCTGAGACATGAGCGACCTAGTTCGTAACCAATTTCACCTTAAGCGATTGAGTACACAATAAACTCTAAAAGTGGCCATATGTTTTGTACCCAATATAGTGTAATCTTATATTGACAAAATAGATATATTTAAAAAATCAAAAGATATGGATGATATCGTATTATAATATGGAGCTGAATGCTCACTGCTCGATGCCGAAGTTCTCATGGTCTGAAGGAAAGTTTCTTTGGTTTCTCGAAAGTCTTAGTCTTTGGACAAATAGGACACCTTTATTACCTTTTCTGTCCTGGGTGCAATAAATCCTGTTTAAAATGGTCCAATCTCATTAAAATCAGATCCTAGTTTTCGCTACCGCTAAACAAATATCTGAAGACATCCCATTAGGGGTCACGTCAGAACGACCTTTCATCCGACCAATCAGCTCGTCGCTTACCAGTTTATGAAAGTGACACAAACAAACTCATGTAATCACGAAAACTTTAACATGGGGTATTCCCAACGATAGTTACGGGTTTAACGACTGAATCTTTACATTCTAGACCATCTATTAGTCATTCCAGAATGGTCTTTTTGTTCAGGTTTCAAATTTGTAATCGAGAATTTGTCAAAATGTGTTTCGAAGCGTAGTCGCCAGTTTGAAATTTATGCCGTAAAGCACGAGAAGGCTGCCTTCTGATTGGTCATTCCTATGGTCGGTCAAAGTTCGCGCAAGGTCGGTCTGACATGACCCGTAATGGGATGTCCTTAGATCTTTGTTTAGCGGTAGCGAGAACTAAGGTCTGATTTGAATGAGATTGAAAATGGTCTGGTCAAATGTGACAGTTATATTGTTAATTCTCTCATTCTAAAACGTCTCATTCTTCAAATAGGTAAACATGTTATCATGATGCTGACTTTGTGATAACTTGGCATATACATGGTGTATTTTGGTCAAACAGCCATCACACCCAATTTGACAATAGTTCCTGATTCTTTTGCTTTGCAATGATCTTTTGGATTTTCAATTCCAGGTGCCATTTATATCTAGTTTACAGCATTTTCCCGATAATGCTGATTTTCTAATCCAGGTTTGTACATCATCATCATCTGTCAGGCATCTGATACAGACACGTACCCATCAGCAGAAGGTGAAACGGTCTTCTGTTCCACAGGTGGTGGAGGTGGCTGAACTTTGTCCAAAGGGATGTATGAGCCGTCTGTGGCATGACTTTCACATGGAGGTTTGTGGGCTATGTTGTGTCCTCGAGGACCAGCTGCCACTTTCGTCAGACTGAGATTGGTCAAAGGACACATCACTAGGAAAGTGAGAGGGTGACTGATGCTGTGAGGCATCTGGCACAGACACATATCCACCAGCAGGAGGTGAAACTGTCTTCTGTTCCTCAGGTGGTGGAGGTGGTGGAACTTTGTCCAAAGGGATGTATGGACTGTCAGTTTCACTTTGAAGTTTTGGGGCTATGTTGAGTCCTTGGGGACCTATAGATTCTCCATGAGGCTGAGTTTGGTCGTTGGGGACATCACTAGGAGAGGAAGAGGGTGACTGATGTTCCAACAATGTTGAGAGGGGATGAGAGTTGGTGCATGATGGAAACATCTCTTTGGGAGCCGATGGGAAATCTGCCTGGGATAATGAGACATAGTAGCTGTAGGTTGGTGGGGGGGTCTCCAACTTCTGGTCATCAGGAGATCGAGGTGGTTCATATGGAGGAGGAGGGCTTGATGCTGTGTCCTGCCCCGAGGAATAGGAAGACTCGTCAAATGGGGCATCACAAGGAGATGGAGTGGTCTTTCCTAGCAGGAGTGACAGTTTGTCCCTTGTAATGTAATTACTGCCAGCATCCTGTCTGGTGGATTCTGAGTTGCCGAACAGAGCAAACTTCAGACAGTTGTCCGCCAGGCTGCTGGATGTATCTGTTTTATTCTGCAGTGATGTCTTCACCTGGTCACACTCTCTTCCTGAACATGGGGTGTCAACAAGCTTACACAGAGGTTTCAGATCATCCTGTGGGATTTGGGCAGTTTCTAGATTTGTCTTAGGCTTTTCAGACATGTCATGCCCAGACATCAGGGATGTTTGGGGATTCACTTTCTCGACACGTGTCAATGTGTTTTCATTGTTATTTGGCTTTTTCTCAATGGTTGATGTTTGTGTACCCTTTCTCAGTTTCTCATTATGAGTTTCCATGGTAACAGTTTCCCTTATGATGTGTTGTTCATTCTCGTCGACCTGCAAAAAAGCATGGTTATGCCTTTTTTAAAGGAGAAACAATAATTGCAAACAACAAATGTAGACTGTCCTGGTCATGTATATACATAATATAATTAACTGTGAAATCCTGGCTATATACTGCTCTGATTTTACTATCCAACATACATTGGTTGCTAATTCATAGCTGCAAATCCCTATAGTTTGATGATGATTGTTCAAACTTCACCACTCTGTTTTAAGATCTCGTCAAATGTTGAAAAAACCAGCACATCCCAGCATCATCATGATCACCACTCAAACAAATTGGTCAATCACTGTAATCTCGTGCGTTGTGACATATAACGTGTGAGATAGGATAAGTATTATAACTATAGAATTTAATGTAAAATTTACATATTTGTAAAACTTATCCCATCTCACACATGTATTTATCCCATGCTTGGATGGTGGGGTGCAGATATGTTAGCCTGTATAGACTACAACCGTAAGACCTACACGAGGAGGCTGGTGATAACCAGTGATACAAACATTTCGGCTATAACACTGCCTAGTCTCGAAAAGACAAAAACTTACAGGTGATGTGACCCTTTTATGCCAGTCGGACGTAACAACATGAAATCGTGTATAACATGTGTAGGGGGCTCTTGTCTCTGGGGCATTCATCACTACTCGCCCCTTTCCGTAGCCTGCAAGAAGACTTGTCCCCCTATCGATGAATGTTATGTGCAAAAATACGACAAACCAATCAGAATGCGCGTATGATTTCAAGTTCTTCGTCAAAGAAACCCTCAGAAATATTTTCTGTTTTTACATATGTCATGCATCTAAAAATATACCCAGTTAAATGTGTTCAATCATATTGTATAATTCCGCATGTCCCGATCTGCTTTAAATTGCATCTGAAATATAAATAATATATGGGGAAATATATGTGAACCTTTAGACAATGAGTTGAGAATTGTTTTAGGTATGACAATTGTTTAAGACAGAACCCGGACGAATTGTCTCTGGGGATTGGATTTTGACAGGAGGAGGTAATTCAGTGAAGGCATAGGCCCCAAGGATAGTCAAGCAGAGCCAAAATGAGACTGAAGCATTCAAAGATGAGAAGAGGAACGATCAACAACATCCACAAGAGGATCTTCAAACCAATACTAAGACATAACGTGCACAAAGCAGAGGCCATTAAGGGTTTGGGACACCGCTGAAACAGCAACTTAAACATGGAAGACCAGAGTCTCTACAGACGAGGTAGAACACCGTCCACGGGGTACTCAGTCTGGGAACCCAAATAATAAAGACAATTAACAAAGGAAGGACATTCAAATGTTTATTCTGTATGGACAGGACATGGAGTACTTGGCTGAAGGAGTGGGTACATAGTATCATCTATCTGTGCTGGTGTCCAGCCGTCAACTTTTGCACCAAGATCAAGGGGCCAAATTGGTTGAGGCCTTGAACGTCTTTGACTAGTACTGAAATGTCAAGTAGATAGTTGGTAGCAAAGACAGTGCCGAACGTCCAAAACAACCCTCCATGATGGTAGACAGGGTAAATTGCTGTTCAAGGCCACTGTAGAGGTAATGGCTTTAGTCTTACGTGGATTGGATATCACAGGAGGAGGGCATCTAGCAATAGTCCAGTGGAGCCAAATGGAAGTTGTGTGACTGCCATGGAATGTGGGAGGAGGAGTCTCTTGCGGCACAACGAAGTGAGCTCTAACCAAGCATAAGGAGATGCCTTCACGGTCATCTGGGTTCAGGATGGATGCCAACAATGGGATGGTAAAAGCAACCGGCTGACTGTCCCAGAAGTCAAAGCAATGCCCCAGAAAGACCTTCCCATTGTGAATTCTCTGAAATGGGCCTGGTTAACATTGAGAGCGTGGACCTCACAGCAGTGATTCCAAAGGCCAGGAGAAAGACCGTCTTAAAGGTGATCAACTCAAAGTCCTTCATTCTTGGTTCATTCTTTGCAGAGGTCAGATGGCAGAGGATGATGTTAAGATCTCAATTGGGCGGCCAGAAAAGAGACAACTGGTGAGCCAACTTGTAGGCCCGAAGGAGGGACTGCAGTTCAACAACCATGGAGATCTTAGATCCGGTTGTAGTGGCAATGATGGAGTTGATCGCAGCGAGATATGTGGACAAAGTAGAGCCTTTAAGCTTCCGAGTTGATCTCAGATGTTGCAGATACTTGTTGAGGAGAAGCAGCGGTCGGCTGCATGATGTCATGAGCCCAACAGTATTACAGCTTCGAATGCATTCCATTTATGGTCATGTAAGGCCTTGGCAGAGGTGCGTTGAGCCTCAGTGATGGTTCTTCTCATCGAATACCCTTTGGTGACAAGCCTTTCAAAACGATGTAGGGATTCAGGCGATGAATGTATTAGGTGGAAGTGAGGCCTAGGAGACATCGAGATGGAGGAGGAACTGTCACTAGGAATGACGAAACCTGTAAGATGGTCATCTGCGGAGATATTTCATTTTAACTGGAGCCTGTCCACAATCCAGGGAAGGATGACGGCTGGATCAAAAGTGTCGAAGCTACCAGTAGAGGAGGCCTGACTGTCTGTGGTGACATCTAGCTGCACAATAGAAGCATCAGGTTAAACAGGAGCTACGGACCCAGGATGAGCGACTAGTGTCGTAGACGAGGAAAAAGTCGTAGTGTCAGTAGGAAGGAGACAACGGCAGCTGACAAGAACGTTGTTGTGGAGCAGAGGTCATGGCCTGCAGGAGTGACTCAGAGTCAATAGATGAAAGGCTGGTCTGGTCTCTATTATCCCAGACGTTAGGCAGAGGGAGGGCTGTTGGTACAGACACAGCTGGGGTTGGTTGCACAAGGACCGGAGACAAAGAATGCGATGCCAATCTACTGTGTGTTTGACGATCCAATTGAGCGTCAATAGCAGATGAACCTTGACACGTAGAAGAGTGTCGACAACAATTAGTGTATTGATGGTGCTCCAAAGATCGATCTGGGAGAGGCGTAAAGGGATAAAAGTCGGACAAGATCTGCAGTCAGGATAAGATGGGTAACGACGTTGAACAGTATATCATCCAGGCAACACATAAGGGTATATGTGAGATATTGATCCATAGCAGGAGGGTGTGGATTCCAGCTATCCCATACTCGTTATGTCACTGGTGATCCGTGTACGAAGGCTGATAGTGATATTGTTGTGGATCTGAGTCATAAGAATGGGAACGATCCTGCCGATGATGACAACTTGAACATTAGGCGGAAGAGCAGGGGAAGATGAGCAACTCTTGGCTGACCCTCAGGGAACACTAGGAGAGTCGCTAATAGTGACTGTTGAAGCTTGCATAGACGAGCTGTCTTTAGATATGACCGTGCGGACATCCGAGGCGGCTTCAGCGTAGGTGTGGTAAGTGGTGATCGGGGGACAGACAACTGCTTCGTTTTGGCGGGAACTTCTTCATGGAGGAAACTGTCCAAAACGAGAAAGAGGGTACCCAGGAGGTGGTTTGACTACTGCTACAGTGGATGGGACAGCCTGTAAGAGGCTTGTTTTTTTTGCTGAGGAAGGCCTGTGTTCTGCATCCTTTGATTTCAAACGGTGGTCAATATTACAATTATGGTATTTGCTTACTAGATGTCAAAAGGTTCCTCAAAGAGGTGAGAACACAGGAAACATCTGTGGTCCGTAGAGGAAAGGCCGCAACAATCGCAACAAAGATCATGAGTACCAGGAGTGGAATAAGTATGTCAGCATTATTTACAGGCCGGGCGTTTATCATGTTCCGTTCCCATCCATCTTCTTTGATTAGTGTCATAGATGTTGATATGAGGAGCTGGCTCACACAAACAAAAAATAAAATTCATTCTCTAGAACTCAATACACTTCTCCTCACGGTGGAGATGAAAAAGAGAATGATGTGGCAGGGGTAGTCGGGTGATGAAGTCATGTGAGGTCACAATGCACGAGATTACAGTGCATGACCCATTTGTTGGTGTAGTGACCATGATGATGCTGGGATGCGCTGGGCGAAATGTTTCTAGAAGCTGGAGACATTGTTCTTTGTCCACATGAGGATCAAAAGAAGAAGGATGAAATGCATGGTGTGAGAATTACCTTTAAACATTTACCTTTAAGTGCCCCAGCAATATTTCGATTACAAATGTATCTATTGGAACAATACCCAGTTCAGAAAACAGTCGGGATTGTCATTGACTCGGTCCTATTATCCGGTTCAAAGACATTCACTCTCTCTCATAACCGACTGATTTGCTAGTCTTCTGTTTTGATCCAAGATTCACCTCTTTTATGGATCCTAGGCCTATCAGGACCATAACCATATTCCTGTATGTTCCACTGACGTTGGGCTCTTTAAGTTTCATGCTCTCATCAAGCTTACATAATGCAATATAACTTATGCACTGCCTTAAGTTTCCCTTTCTCATCAAGCTAATATTTTCATTCTAAATCATTCACTCACTTGACATGAATACATGTCAATTGTATGAAAACACTCTTTTATCATCCAAAACTGGCTCCCACAGGAGATATCGCTTGGGTGAGATCAAGCGATATCTACACTGCTTTGCAGACCATTGTGACGTCATTGGTTACCATGACGTCACAATCAAATGACATCACTAATGTCTCTGCTACTGAAGCTATTAGCAGTACTTTTTACACTTAAGACACTGCTAACTGAAAAAGTTGGAAGGATGATGTTGGATGATAAACAAATTCTCACCCTTGTGTCTTTTGATATCAAAAGACACTCTGGTGAGATTCTCTATTTGTACCCTGATTCAATGTCCACTCTTATCCTACTAAATATGCTTGCCTCCATTCCTTTGCAGTTTCTCTGGGTTGTAAACAAGTTTTTCTCGCAGCTTTACTTTCATTCTTGAAACACTCCTGAAAGTTACCACGCACGTGTCTGCAACAGACACTTACCTCTGTCAATGGTGGCAGCTTGATTTCTAAAGTCATACTGTTGTACGTCTTGTGCAGTTTCCTGGAATGAGTATGTACATTATGATGAATAGTGTCAACTAGCTTACATGTGGTTTTAGCCACAGTCAAGAATGTATAATTCATGCAGGAAACAAAGTGTTTTTCCCAAAGGGGAAACTCTTGTCTGATCGTGTGATGGTCAATCTACCCATGTTCTTTGTTCCGAGGGTAAGTGGAGACGAAATCGGCAAATGTTTGAAGGGAATAGCTCTTAGAGTTGTAATAATCTGTACATGAACATGATTTGTTTGTTGGCTAACTCGACGGCCAGTATTCCAGCTATATCATTATTATAAGTCTATAGTGAAGTATGCGATATTTAACACTTGAAGATCTGTATGGGAAATGCACATAAAAGAACTTGACCTCATACCATAGTCTTTATGTAGTAGTTTCTGAACCATCTTCCCGAGGCAAGGGAGTTAGTAGTCCAGTTTCCACGGGGATTTGGACGTTCTTTTGTCAGTTAACTCACTTACCTCGGGAGATTTTCCAGAACCTATGATCTTTATCCATGTCACGTACCTTATGCAGCAGTTGACAAACAAAACAAACACAATGCAAGAAAAGATTCCACCAAGAGATATGCCTGCAATCTGCCTTGAAGTCAAATCTGTTAAAGACATGCTGAAGATATAGTTATTCCCCACATAATTCTTGGGTTCTTCATGCAAGTTCACCTCGCAAGTACTTTTCAAGGTAAAACAAATTCAGTTTAAAAGGTATTCTTGTGGTTCCATTTTTTACATCTCACTGTAAAGTTGCTTACTGAGGCCTAACAAGCTCTCTAATTGGCATTCTAGAAGTTTTAGAGTAAATAACAAAATGTAAAACTATATGGATAACAACTTCTGATTTTTTTTTTTATGGCGACGTTTAAATGTAGATTCTTACACCGTTATCAAGATAGAGTGACTACAACCCAGCGGAGAGAGGTATTCATGCATATTCTGTTGTGATAAACAGATTAACATTGACAGCAACAGGTAATAGATAACGAGAAGCACACATATGACTGGCTGAAGCCAGGTGTACAGTAAGAATACCAAATAGCACATAGATAATGAAGCACACGGATAATGAAGCCACATGTACAGTAAGGATAAGGATTAAAGGATTAAAATTTGTGACATGCTGATTGGATCCTTATTACAAAGGCCTGTTGCTAAGGGTGCCGACCAATTATTTAATATATAAAAGCCGTACCTATTATACATATTTCAGCTTAACAGTTTCATCTGTACTAAATTTGTCAAAATTAAGCTAGCATTGTTAAAAACAATTATCAATTAATACTGTTTTGGAAAAGGTTCATGCCTCTTTCTTTAAACGTTTTCAAAGTCTTAGAGTTTGCAAATTTGCATGTCATAGGTTATTTTGGGTCGATATAACAGGTTTACAGTTACTCAAGGCTGTGTTGTAAAATACTGGATTTTGTTGAACTATCTGCAATTTATCCTCACCAGTGTTATACACTGTAAAAATGCTTGATTATAAAGGTAAATGTAACGTGGTGTCAGATGTAAGAATTGTTTGTTTTTTCATTTGTATGGATAAGACACGATGTTTGAAATGTGTCAATGGTTTCGGATACATTTAGACATAGCGTAAGAGATATATCCCTTCAAAAACTGATGTTGACCATTCTAAATTTCTTAAGCATTACAATAAACTTCAACGTGAAAGGATGTAACACATCATCATCATATATCATTAATACGAGCTTTTTGTAAAATAAAAATCACTCTACATAATTTTAAAATCAATAATCACCGTTAAACTACAAAGTTTGATCTTGATCAATGCAATATGTAAATCAAGAAACCTGTAAAGCATTGAAGATGAATTTAATGTGTAAGCTGTTTCTGACAGATATATAATCCTTCGCTTAAACTATCACACTCTGGTCCTCACAGAGCAGAGCTTAAGTAGGTATTCCTTACCACTATTAACAACACCTCTGTTTATGGCTTCAATCTCTGGCCCCTCCCTGACCTCGACACAGCTCGGAGTGAGGTGTCACTCTTTGGTCAAATAAAGCAGAGGTAATTATGTAACCCTTACCACTATTAACAACAACTCTGGTGATGGGTTCACTCTCTGGCCCGTCCCCTGACCTGGACACAGCTCGGAGTGTCACCCTGTACCTCACTCCTGCTGACAGGCCCTGGATGACCTGACTTTCCTTTGTGGTGGACACATTGACCTGCACTGACAGACCTGAAAATACCAGCAATGTTTATCGAGTTATATTCATTAATACGCCACACTGTGTAGAAACAAGTAACTACATATAGCAACACAAGCTGCTGCCAACAGCAGTCTGAAATACCAAATATTTATTTGTTTGTTTGTTGTTTAACGCCGCACTCAGCAATATTCCAGCTATATGACTGCGGTCTGTAAATAATCGAGGCTGGACCAGACAATCCAGTGTTTTACATCATGAACATCGATCCACGCGATTGGGATTGATGACATGCATCAACCAAGTCAGCGAGACTTTCCACCCGATCCCGTTAGTCGCCTCTTATGACAAGGATAGTCGCCTTTTACTGCAAGCATGGGTTGCTGAAGACCTATTCTACCCCGGATCTTCACGGGTGACCATGTTTAGAGATTGCAATTCCAACTGAACCATGTTCAGTTACCATTATCTGGTAGGAATTGTAAACAGACATCAATGGATATGCTTTCGAACTCGTGTATCCAACTCTTGTTTGTCATGTGTATATGCATGAGTAAGAGGCGTGGACTTCTGTCTAGTTATTGCTGTGGATCTTGTACAAATGCGCATTGCTATTCAGAATAAAATTATTTTAATCGAACTTGAAGTTTCTTGCAATACAATTGATCAAAAATTGAATTCCCTGAAACAGTCACCTACCTGAATATCCACTCTTACTGTTGGCGGTAGTATGACATGTCACATAGTGACGACTTACATACGGGTCCTTAAAACAGTCACCTACCTGCACATCCGCCATGGTTGTTGGCGGTATAGTGAGACATGGTGTGTAGGGTTTAACTTGAAACGGGCACCTACCTGAACATCCGCCATGGTTGTTGGCGGTATTGTGAGACATGGTGTGTAGGGTTTAACTTGAAACGGGCACCTACCTGAACATCCGCCATGGTTGTTGGAGGTATAGTGAGACATGGTGTGTAGGGTTTAACTTGAAACGGGCACCTACCTGCACATCCGCCATGGTTGTTGGAGGTATAGTGAGCTAGGTGTGTAGGGTTTAACTTGAAACGGGCACCTACCTGCACATCCGCCATGGTTGTTGGAGGTATAGTGAGACATGGTGTGTAGGGTTTAACTTGAAACGGGCACCTACCTGCACATCCGCCATGGTTGTTGGTGATACAGTGAGACACCACATAATAGCTGACATAGATGGGAGTCTCGGCACAGACAAACTTGGTCCACTCCACGCTCAAGGCGTTGTCCGGCTGGTGGCGGGAGAAAACGACTCCACGTGGCGATGGCGGTACTAAAGAAAAGGTCGTGAAACTGCTCATCAGTTTGTTAAGTTTGAAGTCGACTCGAGTACCTATAGTCGGTGAATATACCTACTATATTCGTTGGATGATGGAAGGAGAACATTATTCCTGAAGACCCAAATGTTTTGCTCAAATCATTATAAAAGACGAGTCTGTCTTTTTGTTGAACTCCGAAGTGAGGAAAGATCCCGGCTATATACCAGTATACATCGTCCAGTTAAGATCAAACAGGACCAAGCAAACCAGTGGTTGAAATCATGAGCAACTTTCCACGTCATAGGACCATGATTAACCATGTTAGAACCCGAACACCCATCTCTATTCTCTTTGCCTCCCCCGACAAGCTGGGTGATCGTGACTAATTTTCACGTGGATTCGGACGTGTCAATCACACAAGATAATACCCATGGTAGAAAACATACTGCTTCCCTTACTTACCGAGATTCCTCCTATACACACATGTATTCCATCTGAGTCCACTGCTGACATTCCGATTGGCTGTCTCCATCTCCGCTGATACGCCGATCATCTTGTTGTCAAGGTTACCATCCTGTACTTTCAGTTCATAGTGTCTGACATCAGATGCAAATGGATGCCAATGGGTGGTATCCTGAAAAAGAGGAATATGTGTTTAGGCGTTTGATCGATCACTGTATAAAGTAATCGTGTTGTTCTGATGCCAATGATACCCTGAATTTGTTATGACAATCCATTCCAAATCTACTCTTTATTTCTTGTACTATGACCGACATATTAACCCCCTTAACTAATAACCGTCACCCATTACCACAACATCGAAATCTCACTTTGAGCATGATAAGAGTAAAAACATTTGGCCGGGTAGGAATAGGTCTTCAGCAACCCATGCTTGCCTTTAAAGGCGACTATTCTTGTCGTAAGAGGCGACTAACGGGGTCAGGCTAGCTGACTTGGTTGATGCATGTCATCGTATCCCAATTGCGTGGAACGATGCTCATGATATCAATCACAGGATTGTCTGGTCCAGACTTGATTATTTACAGACCGCCGTCATATAACTGGAATATTGCTGAGTGCAGTGTTACATAACAAACAAACAAACAAGCTCACTGACTTGGTTGATACATGTCATCGTATCCCAAATCCGTGGATCTATACTCATGATATCAATCACTGGATTGTGTGGTCCAGGTTCGATTATTTACAGACCGCCGTCACATAGCTATAATATCACTGAGTTCGGCGTTAACAGTAAACAAATAAACAAACAAAACGAATACATTTGGCAAGAAATGTGTAATGACATCTTGTAATAGTGTAGTGGTACACAATCAGTGTCACCCTCCTCCTTAAAGTAGGAGGTACGTGTAATGGGGGAATCATGAGTAACTGTTGATTCCAGAACGAAGAATGTCGCGTTCAAGATTATTACACTCATGCATGTGTGTCTGCTTGTACTAGTCCGGACTAATGACGATTTTATAGTGCTAGCCAACTGAGATACCATACTGCAGTTTAACATGAATACCCACTCAGACACAGTATACTGACTTCGAGCCGACCAGTCCTTGTTTAAGCCCCTTAATGCCGAGCGTCGGGCAGGGTAACAACAAGTACCATGTCTTAACGTTATTTGATATGACGCGGCCGGAAATCGTACCCCCGACCTTCAGCTCACTGGGCGGACGCTCTACCACTAGGCCACGGAGGCGGTCTAGAACCAATGAGAAGCGGCTAGTTGATTCTACTTACGGAACAACATATTCGAGTGAATGCTCTAACTTATCAACTTATGGTTGATGTATATTTTCTCTCACTGTAATTCTGCATAATGACATATATGGATTCATATGTTTTACTTATTTAAAATCCACGTTGAGAATGACAAGGGAATTCCTGGCTCAGAATCAAATGCAAGAACGTGACGTCATAATAGTTTAAGTGGAGGTCTGCACACTTGAATTCAGTCCCCGTTACACTATCAAAAACTTTTTTGTCCATTTTGACCAAGTTTTTGATAGTGTAACATGCTGTCAAAAACTTTGACAACGTTTTTGACGGACTTTGATGGAATAGAAACCAATCCTATTTCTCGTCAAACTTTGATCAAAGTTTGATTACCTTGGTTTAATTTAGCCAATCAGAATGCAAGGAATATTAACCCATTTTCAAACGGAAGTGCATAGAGTCAAGTAATAAAAGCCAACTATTTTGGACTGACGAGATGTTGGAAGAATTAATTGATTTTGTTCAACAACGAGCAGCCATTCCCGGGACCAAATATGTCTTTGCCTTCGCCGACGCCGCCTTCTCAACATGGCAATACACAAAATACAAATGACAGCAGCAAAACATTTTTCTTCAGTAGGATCCATCTTGGCGAGATAATTCCCGCCAAAACTTTGACGGCCTGTCAAAAACTTTGTCGAGTGTAAACAGCCCAACATGGACCAAGAAAACTTGGTCAAACAATTTCGTTGACCAAGTTTTTTTCTCAAAGTTTTTGATAGTGTAACGGGGGCTTAGGATGCAGTGATGTCGGTGGTGTGTGTCATCTTGGACAGGAACACCCAGTGGCGATCTCTGATGTTCATGTGGCCGCGCCTATTAAATACCCCGTTTTTAAATTTCGCACAGCAAATAAAATAATAGTCTTACTTCACATTTCGAGGTGATCTTGGACCCATTGCAGTAGTACAGGGTGTAGCCTGTGACCCTCCCCTGGTGGGGGTCCTGTGACCCTAGCGGGACCCCCCAGGCGATGTACAGGGTTGAGCTGTCTGCCTCCACCACGATGTCCGAGGGGTGGGGCACTTCTACAATGGAAAACACTAACATATATGTACCGTTAAGCCTTGTTTTATCAGGGTCCATTAGCATGCTGTTAGACTAACACTTATATATTGGTCAATGAAAACATATTTTAAAAATAATAATTCATTTTTTTCTCCAAAAAAACCTTTCCTCTTCTGCTGTTTTCATATTTGGAATCAAGCAAACTAGACTTGGTTTAGTTTGAGCTAGACTTGCCTAGGCTTTTAGTAAACAAAAATACCTGAAAAATATAAATTCCACAGTCATGGCACATGACTAGCATGCTGTGTATTTTGGACTATATCACTTTACAGTACTGACAGATTCCCTCTTGGCCCTGGGCCATTTCCCCCTGTGATACCCAAGAGAACGAGACCGCCAGGTACTGTACAGGGAAGTTACCCAACCACCACGTTGTCCGCTGGGTGGGACAAGTCCAGAACAGATGACATTTTATAAGCGATGTTAGTATTAGCCTATATGGCACAAACTCACTGTTATAAGCAGGAATCACAATAGGATTCGACTCTCCTGACATGCCGACCTGTGTTCCTCCTCTCAAAGTAATGCTATACTCCCGGTCTTCCCCGACCAGCAGGTCATAGGACGTTGCCGATCCTGCCACCTCCATCACCTCGCTTGTTCCATTCTGTGTGTCTCTCTGCTGTATTATGTACAGAGTTATCTTCCCATTGGACACTTCCGGGGGTATTGGCTATAGAAAATAACAGAAACTGACCAGACGACGTAAAGGGAAGACAGGTTACCGGGCAGGAACTTAACGTATCTAAGACATCATGGTTATTAACTGCTTGCTTGTGGACAGACTTATCTCCCCATTGGACACTTCCGGGGGTATTGGCTATAGAAAATAACAGAAACTGACCAGACGACGTAAAGGGAAGACAGGTTACTGGGCAGGAACTTAACGTATCTAAGACATCATGGTTATTAACTGCTTGCTTGTGGACAGACTTATCTCCCCATTGGACACTTCCGGGGGTATTGACTATAGAAAATAACAGAAACTGGCCAGACGACATGACAGGAGGACAGGTTACTTAGTCTGACTCAGCAACTGCTTGGTTGTGGACATTTCTCCTCTTAGACTCTTCCAGATGTATTGACTTAAGTTGATTTCAATAAAGGTTGTCACAATGAATTACGGTTCTCGTCGTTATGTTTTTCACTTGGGCTGTTTGTTAAGAGGATATGATCAGGGGATTGTTTCCATTATCTTCATGGATATTAGTAGAATAATTACAATTTTGATATCTGCTCACGTCACTGATGTAATCTTTGCAACACTTGCCTTCCAGTAGATCGTCGCATAACACGGTGATGACTCACAGTCACCAGAAACGAAGCTTCCTAGCCTCACCCCGGGGACACCGCTCGGTACTGTGAGAGAGTGAGTGAATGATTGAGAGGGTTGGTGGGTGTTTTGGCGATCTTCCCGAGGAAAGGGAGTTAACCGACTAAAGAAGTCAGCTTCCCATCCTTGCCGAACTAGGTTGGAATTCCGGAGTTACATTTTGTCTGGACTAATAAGTCTACGCGTAGTCCAATCAAAATCGCGTAATGAACTAGACATCCGGTTCGTAAACAATATGGACTTCAACATGCAGATTTTCCGTCGACTGCAGGATTCGAGAAGGTTGAATCTGATTGGTCAATAGGAGGGACATAGAAGGGATATAAATCGTAAAAGCCGCTGGTGGTGCTACGATCGAGCCACGAATTTCAAGGCAAGTTCGGCAAGGGTGGAAACTGGACTGTGTGTATGTGTGTGTCTGTGTGAGTGGGTGTTCGGAGGTTCGTGGAGGAGTAAAAAATGCGACAAAACCTTTTCCATATTCATAAGAAATCTCGGTTGAACGATTCCGATAGTAATGATAACAGGTGTTCGAGAAAAGCTGAGCATATCACGCCCCACCGGTGGCACCCATCACAAACACATGCATAGGCGAGTCAATTGTTCACCTGGGAAAAAACACGGGAACAAGTAGGAAATAGCATCGGACATAAGTTTTGTCACTGATGCGTGAAATTTGGGAATGTCCTCGACGTTCATACTCCAACCCACAGTAAGAGTTTCAGAGATATGAATATTATATTGATTTTTCAAGTATGTTAAATATTAAATAATGTAAGACACAGACCGTCTTCAAGTGTTTCCACTTCTATGGAGGTCCAGTCACTGTAAAAGCCTCTTATTGTATTAGATCCATGTGGTAACGGGATACACGACACTTGCAGCTCGTATCTCCTGGCAGGATGTAGGTCACACACAGTTACCTCCCTTTCACTGGTGTTGAACTGAAAATATAGTATGAAACATAACACACTTGAGTTCAAACATATCACAGTCCACGTCCCACGTTTTACAGACCAAAAAACCACATTCTTTTCGACAGCTGATGGGTATCCCTATGAAATGTTGAGTAGTATATTGCAAGTGAGTCAGCAGGTTTACCTTTAAGACAGAACCCTGTTCCCGTAGGACGTGCACTGTGTACTTCATGACCCTACTGGAGCTAATGCATATCCCTGTCAAATGTGGGGTAGTGTGTTACAGGTGGGTCAGCAGGTTTACCTTTAAGACAGAACCCTGTTCCTGCAGGACGAGCACTGTGTACATCATGACCCTACTGGAGCTAATGGATATCCCTGTCAAATGTGGAGTAGTGTGTTACAGGTGGGTCAGCAGGTTTACCTTTAAGACAGAACCCTGTTCCCGTAGGACGAGCACTGTGTACATCATGACCCTACTGGAGCTAATGCATATCCCTGTCAAATGTGGAGTAGTGTGTTACAGGTGGGTCAGCAGGTTTACCTTTAAGACAGAACCCTGTTCCCGTAGGACGAGCACTGTGTACATCATGACCCTACTGGAGCTAATGCATATCCCTGTCAAATGTGGAGTAGTGTGTTACAGGTGGGTCAGCAGGTTTACCTTTAAGACAGAACCCTGTTCCTGCAGGACGCGCACTGTGTACATCATGACCCTACTGGAGCTAATGGATATCCCTGTCAAATGTGGAGTAGTGTGTTACAGGTAAGTCAGCAGGTTTACCTTTAAGTCAGAACCCCGTTCACTGTGCACTGTGTACATCATGAACCTACTGGAGCTAATGGATATCCCTGTCGAATGTGGAGTAGTGTGTTACAGGTTTAGCAGGTTTACCTTTAAGACAGAACCCCGTTCCCGTAGCACGAGCACTGTGTACATCATGCGCCTCATAGACTGTTGCCCATGGTTCCACAGGAGATACAAACACGTGCTGGTCATATTCTCTACAGTCAATGAATGCACAGGAGCTGGTTCCACTGTAAGCAGATGCAAAGCTGAATTGCAGATATCATACAAAAGGATCCTTTTGGGATCATTTAGCTGATGGTCACTGTAATCAAAAGCCTTTAGATACGACTGTATTCAAGGAGCCTTACAACTGCTGTTCAGTATAATCACCGCTTCTGTTGCCGAGGATCACTGTAAACACGGATTACGACTGACCTGGTGGTAAAATTATAGTTTCCTGATGTCGCAAACATATCATGTGCCCAGATATCTGTATATTTAAAATGTGTACCACTTGCCCAGAGTTCAACAGACAGCCATATAAACCCATTCCCTCAGTTGCGCTTTTATTCATCGCTCATTCTGACCCTCAACGACATAACTGAATTGCAGCAAATGCAACTTTATTAACGAAATGCACATTCCGCCAACACATTTAACAGGACGAGAGCTGAATGAGTTGAGAAAAGTCGGAGAAGCGTCAGTTTAATTCAAAGACATATTACTCTTACATATTTCTATGAACTAGCTTACCCAGATTTAGTGGATTGATAGAAAACACGTCCGATGCCGCAGTAGCCAGTGGTGATTCCTCACTCTCCTTTGTGTGGACAGTTACGTTAACTTGCATGAAGTAAGTTTGATATGGTTTCAAATTGGAATAAAGTCTGTTCCCTTCTTCAATCTCTCGCCAGGTGCAGGTTTTCTCCCCAGGGTGAGGGCATTTGTTGGCTCCACCCCTGCAAACAGCGAGACATTTATGTAAAATTCATATTTTGCCTCGATGGAATAATGTATAATTTTTACGCACAATGAAGATTTGGAGACGTTGTCAGATTGAGGCATTGGTTTGATTCAACACTGATAACAAACATTTCAAATGGCGTTTCCACAGACAAGCAATATAGTTTGAGCAGCTATGTGTAAAAAAGTGCCGAATTGAGCACTTTGAGTTAAAAGCATGAAACTTGGTACAATAAGAGTTTTAAACCCGTTTATTAATAAAACAAGTAGGATCGGATAAACTTCGTCATGAAAATACTGTGAACTATGGCAGATGTGTTGAATGTGACAAGGGCTTTGGATAATGTTACTTTGTGCAACTGACACTCTATTTATATCTATTTTGTATTTTAAGGTGCAGTGTTCCAAATTAGGTCTCATTTCTGTATTGTATTTGACGGCCATTTCAAACTTTGAAGATTCATCAATTTCTGGTTTGACAATTATTTAAATTGCCGACTCTGCTTTTAGCGGAGATTTCTTATGAATATGGAAAGGGTTTTCTCGCTTATATTCATATCATCTATGAAATATTATTTTTTGCTCCCTTTGTGCATCTATATTTTGTTGAGATGTTTATAATGTTTCAATCCATGTCGGACATATAGGATTTGGCGGCCATCTTTAAAAACCTACTTTTACCAAATATTCATAAATATAACTCAACTATTGTATAATTATGTGATAAATTTGTTCACAAGTATATTCATATATATATATGACATTTCTCTATTCGAAATAATTATGAAAATGAGGGAATTTAAGGAACTTATCGCTGATTTTGCATAAATGTAGTTAAGGTCGGTATTGGTATTTGATCACATCGATGGAACAGGGTAATATGTGAAGTTTGACATTGTCATTTCAATAAATAGATGTTTAATGTTGATTAAATGAATATTGCAAATTTTGTGTATTCTTGGCGTCCATCTTGGATTTGGCGGCCATACTAGAAACATTATGGTACCATACCATATTATCAAACATAAGAAAGCTGTGTGAACAACTAAGGGCCTAACGTTTACAAATGTCCAAACTTTAGGATAAGTTTGTAACCAAGTATCAAAAAATGATCCAATGAAAGATAAGTACTATTATACCAAATATGACAAGTAGAGATTGCTGCAGAGCATCAATAGCTCCCCGCCATATAATGTTATGTGCAGAGGAAGGAAGTGTAAGCTATGGGAGGAGAGAATTTGTGTTAAGTACAAATTGGTTGTTATTAATGTACTTATCTTTGGAAAGCACAATAAAAGAAACAGTGTCTTTAATTGGTCCGCACAAAGATAACCCAGGCAAGAAAACTGGTCCTGTCAGGCAAAACTTGATGTATACCCACTATTAGTACCAATAAAAAAAATCCTACATAGATAACACAACAAATGCCTCTCTAAAGCATGCTTTTGCAGCAAATATCAATATTTCTGGTCAAAATGTTGGTTGGTTTAAATAAAGCAAACTTTTAAAATAGTAAACACAAAAAATGTAATGAATACACTCTAAATATACTTCAGTTCAAATGTAAAAAATCACGCAATCATTAATGGATTCCCATTTATCTAGCAGCAAGTTAGGAACATACAGTTTGGTCACGTTATCTATAAATATTGAGAAAATAAAATTGTAGATATACAAAAACACCAGCCCCATTTGAACAACTTCTCTGTGAAACATGTGATGTCTCAGAAGATGAACAACATTACGCACTGTGTTACATAATACAACCAAGAAAGAGAATCACAAATAATCCCCAATCATTATAAAGAATTTGGTACACTCTGTTAAAAGGAGCAGATTCTTAATAAGTTTACCAACAGTTATCCAGACACAACTTCCAAGATCTGTTAACATATCAACAATTACAAACAAATTCCTTGTACATGTATGTACTACATTACCATAGTTTTGCTCAATTCTCATATTAATTCCATATCATTATAAAACACTTGTTTTAGAAATTAAATTCTACCTCTTTTGAATGTTGAATGTTCCTGTGTTTTTTAATTGTCGTTTATTGTGCATGTATTTTGTAGTTTGTGATTGTGCAATATTGCCACTGTTTCTTCATGGAATGTTCTGCAATACATATCTCATCTAAAACATCTTTGTTGTATAATAGTTTCTTACAGTTGTTTACGGGGGCATGGTTGGCCCAGTCGCCGAAGGCGCTGCAATTCGCTATGCAGAGTTGTGTCCCTTGGGCACGCCAGAAACCTATGACAGTGTGTTTGAATCTCGGTTCGCCCCGATTTTGTTTTCAGCACAAAACCCTTGCTCGTTGGTTTCACCAAAGTGGTGAACGTCTAAGACCTGCATCACTTCAGACTTTCATCCCACTTCAAGCTGACACGGAATACTATTCAAGACGGCGTTAAACCCAACTACCTCACTCACTCTTGTGTATGGTTCCGTTTGGTTAACTGGGTTTGTGTTGTGATTGCTTCCGGCTTAGATTGGAAATTTGTTTAGAAGAATGTTACTATGTTCAACCCAAACATCGTGAAGATATCATTCAACCGTATTATCTTTTTGGAAAATAATTGCAAACTACAGACCAACCTGTTGATTTCCTATGTATCCAGAAGCAAAGAACATATACGGGTGTATGATCTCTGCTGGAAGTTAATTTTTTTGTCAAAGCAATAAACCATGCAGAAACGTAAACCGCCGCATGAAACGGTATGTACCATACATTACATACAGTGAAGTATTTAAAACAATGCTGTGCTCAACTATGCACAGCAAGCGCCACATATGTGATTATGAAGACAACTAATAAAAAAATTCTCATATCAAACCCGTTGTTTTACATGTGTTGTTTATTGAAGAAAGTCATACTTTATAGAAGCCTGTTATTTAATCGTGTTGAACAATATGTTGCAATAGCAGTGTGAAAATTGAGTGCGCGTGACAGGCTTGGCCTAAATTCCTTCCTGGAACGTTTCTCGATGGCTGCCTGAATAACATACGATACATTGCAAAGGTAGTGCGCAATTGAACTGTTCGGGGAAGGGAGATAATCACTCACTCTCAGTGATACAGCTTGAATAAGATACGATGGAAAGCAATGCAAGGTCAGTGCGTGAATTTATCACTTCTATACTACGCCTATAGCTAATGGAGATAATCGCTCAATGCGCAATAGTTTATTCTTACAAAATATAGACCGGTTAACTTTAGCGAAATGGGATCATTTTTAGCTCTTTTAAAAACAAAATGAACAGATTTCATGGGTTATCAGCATTACGAAAAGTGACTAAGTCTCAGAATAGCAAGACGATTTTGAAGTATCTCTTATTGCTGGAAAAGATAAACATCAACATTTCACGCACATTTCACATGATTTGTATGTTTCGTTTCGGTTACTGTGTGGCTTGAAATTTCTAAGAAACCAACATGTCGACTTACATGCTCCAAAATTAACCTCTCCCGTATACTTCCCCGCCTTAAGGGCGGGGAAGAATAAAGCTATATGAAAGGCCTATTATTTACACATGTCCAAAAGTAAGGATAATTCCCTACAGGAAGAAAAGCATGAGGTGATGTCATCCATTCTCACCCGGAATTCCCTACGGGAGACAAGCATGAGGTGCTGGGGCGTTGATGGGAGAGGATACACGAGTGATGGATGGCTTGAAGACAGAAGGATGGCAGACTAAAAGCTTCCACAAATGCTTAATTCGTACGAACAAAACAGAACAATATTAACCATGTCATGCCGTAAATCAGTTGTCAAGCATAAATACCATGCCATGCTGTAAATCAGTGGCAAAGCAATGATTATCCATGTCATGCTGTAAATCAGTATTGTCGAGCAATAATTACCATGACATGGAGTCAATCGGTGTTGTCGAGCAATGGTTACCATGTCATCTTGTAAACCAGTGTTGTTGAGCAATAATTACCATGTCATGCTGTAAATTAGTGTGGTCATGATGCTTTACACGTCAGAAAATAAATGTTTTATTTTAACGATTTGCCATTGTGAATGTCATACATGTACATCTTACTTGATTTCCCAATACAGTTCGGATTTCACCATGTCCTTATGTATAAAGTCCACTCCCAGGTCCCACGTGCAGGTCATGTTCCTCCAGTCAAACACACGGCAGTCGATCTTCTCCACCTTCTTGGGCCGATCTGGGAATCATTATTGGGTGAATGGTTGAATGGGTGAGTGAGTTGAGTTAAACGTTGCTTTGAATATTAGCTCATTTATATCCTGATAGGCGGTGGGCCACGTTTATGTGTAGGGAAAGCCTTATGTAATACAGGTCTTAGATGTTACCACTTGGCCGAAACCCACTAGCACGGACTGATGCTGTGAAATCAAAAATCGTGATCGTATTATTATTTGACCAGATGATCAGCGGATTCTAGAGCGACGAGGGATATTATTGAAATATTAACCAGTACCATGAATTACACTGTACGATGAATAAACCAACAACGTGTATACAGTGTGGTTGGGGAGAGGCTGGGAATTTATCGAAATTAAAATTGACCCTGAAGATTCGTGAAAAAAAATTATTTGTGCATCTGTCCTTTGAAAAAGAAAAGAAATTGCCCACCAAATAGGATAATAGGTCTTTAAAAAAACATATCTCGTTTTATAGGTGAAGCTGAAATCTCGATACAAAATCCAAGCCCTAGAATATCAAATTGTCTCTTACGGCAAATATAGGTTACTAGGGACCTAGTCTACCCGGAATCCCCACCAGGCAACCTACTCTGCTAGTCTTCCCGCTGCCGCATATCCACATCCCCCCCGTGAAGATCTGGGTAGGAACTGGCCTTCAGCAATCCATGCTTGTAAGACAAACGCTCACTTACCGTAACTCAATCAGTTATGGTTGCGTCTACTGTACACAATATTAGCATTATTCGTAAGCAAATTAAGTATCTGACTGGCCAGTCATCGTCTTGTTAAAAGAAAATACACAGGTCAGCTACCGGTCAGTACTATGCTTGCCGTAAGAGGCGACTAACGGGATCGGGTGGTCAGGCTCCCTGACTTGGTTGATGCATGTCATCGTGTCTTATTTGCATAGATTCTAATGATGCCAAGTGCTGCATAATCTGGCCAAGGCTCGATTATTCGCAGATAGATAACTGGAGTATTGCTGAGTGTGGCGTTAATAACAAAGTAAGAACATATTCAAATCCATATATACAGATAGCTACGCTGGGGGACATAGGATTACTCCCGTGTAGAGTATCGAACTCAGGTCTACAAGATAACAAACGGACGCAAAGTGTAGTAGTTCAGCCACAAGGCTAGCCAACCACCCCTTTGAATTAAACTTGTAAAGGAAGAGGGTACTCACATTCAACATGCACACGCTGTTCGGCTATGAAGCCTTTAGTTTTCCTAATGCACGTGTACTGGCCTTGGTCAAGTTCGGACGTGATTGGGTAGTCCAGTCGTATGGATCGGTCACTTGTTGGGGTGATGTACTGCATAGGAAGAACCTTGACCTCATTCTTGTATGTCTTCTTGAAGTATAGTTCTCCGGATATGTTGCCAGGCGCGGTCGTCACGGTGCAAGTCAAGGTCAAGGTCTCATTTATGAATCCATATGGATTAACAGGACGCACTGTTGAAAGACATGTATGCGGAGAGTGTTTCATATTGTCTACAATCGAAATAAAGTTGAGATTGACATAGGGTATCATTATATGAGCAAAATATGGCCCATGCGACGTTAAATCTCAACTTTTATATTTAGCTGATGAAATAGTATAAATTAAAGTATAACCAGAAAGGCTTCTTGAATATTTAAACAATGAAACACTAGTTACTAATTTAAACTACACATTTCAATCGTTTTTGTTTTTCCGGCCTCATGATAGATGAACACAAAGAACCGTCTCCAGTGAAGTATGTCATTTGACGTTGAATCAAATTTATTTAGTGGTACGAATTGCAGCTTAAGAGTTCGGAGTTATCTCCCGTGTGTGCAATGAGTTACGTCCCTTCCTAGAACGTACTTGAGTGAGACTGAGAGCTAGCTCGGCAGTATTGCCCATACAGTAAAGCAAAATACTCGTCAGTTAGGTAATTTGCCAAAGAGACAGGGGAACTAGAGAAGCGCGAATAGCAGGGAGAAGAATGCTAAAAGCCATTGAAACCCCACAAACGGGAAACTCAAGGCAACACACGCGGCCCGTAACGAGACAGCGTGATTACGTCTCCAGCTAGTGTTGGCCGGAAAGACCTGAGGTTTGTTGTTTGTTGTTTGATGAATGTGTGGCGTTGGAAAGAGAATTGCGAACCAAGATGGTGGAACGAATCTATCAAAGCAGAGGTCCCGAAGGTTCAAGGTGACCTTCAGGCAATGCGGTCTCGGTAACGTGACCAGGCGAGAATTCCATCCCGGGACGAGTAAGAGAAGGGATGACCAAAGTTTGCAAGGTTAAGCACGACAAGTTGTTGTCTATATTTGGATGTATAACCTGGATGGTTATCGAAATTATGACGTTCGTATCGCCATGGAAAGTTAACATTAGGAAGCAACAAACACTTTGGCGGAGTAACAGCACAAATAAACCAAAAGATGCAAGGTCCGGATCCGTCAGGTCCTTTCACTTTGGATGGCCAAGATTGACAGAAGGTATTACTGTGCTATGTCGTGCCACCTTACAGATTAAGTTGGTGCATGTGTGTTCACTGTGTAGGGGTAGCCACCCATCAGATATTCACTCAGTACCTGCTTCATACAACGTGACCTCAGGAGCACTGACACCAAATACAAAAGACTAGCAGCTATGAGAGGTTCCTGTGTATCCAATAGAGGGCTAGAGTTGGCTGTATGGGATTACCTACTGCCAAAGGACTATGTACAAAGAACTTATACATTGTAGGTATCTAACTGGCCAGTCATCATCTTGTTTAAAATGTATACAGGTCGGCTGCCGATCTGTGCTTTGCTCGGCGTAAGAGCTTGGCGAGTAACGGGATTGGGTGGTGAGGCTGGCTGACTTGGTTAATGCATGTCATCGTATCCCAATCGCATAGATAGATTCTCATGATGCCTGGTCCAGACTCGATTATTGATAGATAGACAGCTGCCGACATATAACTGGAATATTGCTGAGTGTGGGGTTAAACAACAAACAAACAAAACGTTTGTAATGTTTGATGTGACGTCACTTGATTGACCCAGATTTCACACTGAGTTACGGTAGTGAAAGTCAGGCGGAGACATTGTACAATGTCACCAAACGTTAGTCCTTGTGAACTCGTCACGATAAGTAGTTTACATGTGTCACTAGCTGTGTGCAATTGATCTTACAAATTGAATGTTCCTGTAATTTACTATATAAAATAATCGGCCAGCTGGTAAAACCAAGCACAACTCACTGGTGACGTTATGTTAAAACACGACTCCTAGATTTTGTTTACGAACCGGATGTCGACTTCGTGATGCGATTTTGATTGAACTATGCATAGACTCGTTAGACCATCCAAAATATGACTCCATGATTGCAGCCAAGTTCGGCAAGGGTGGAAACAAGACTTTTACGGTCAGTTATCTCCCTTGCCTCGGGAAGATGCACCTACCACAGTGGCTCAGTGGAAAAAACAGTGAGTTACAATACTAAACATGATATCATTATGTGACGTTGCAGGTTCGATTCATAACATGGAATCATTAAACATTCGAAAACGAAACAGATGCATATTAAAAGGATGTCTATAAACCTTTGGTGATGTGACACTCTTCAGTTTAGTTAGAAAGTGGAGAAAGAAAGTGAACTTGGCATGGATACTAGGAACATAATTTACCGGCTTTCCACTTTTTAAAGAGACATTGAGAACAATACGATGAACAATACTAAGTCCCTAAAGGTTCACAAACATGCATCACATGCATACCGGTGTTGTCACCTCCTCGAAAGAGGAACGCAATGCTGTAGTTGAGCGTCGCCACAAGTACGGCGGTCCGGAGTATCCCCTGCCTTCTCGTGGGTCTTGTCATGATGATGGTCAGGTACACTAGCCCACGGAAAGAAAACGGGTAAGAAAAAGCATCATCGGTGATGGTTTTAAGTTACAAAAGCAAACAAAGTAACACTTACCGAAGGGGGACTCTGACACTGACATTCCCCTCGCTGGTCACATAATTATATCAACATCTACAAATACAAATAATCACGTACAATTAATTATTGAAGCATAAACACATTTTGAACTCGTAGAACAGATCAGTGGGAAGGCTATAAAATAGGCTATAAAATCCACCCAGAAATGAGAAAGATACTGTCTTTATGACTTCCATGGCCATTTAATGAGGAGCCGGATATTTGAGTCAGTGAGTGAGTGAGTAGGGTTTAACGCCGCTTTTAACAGTATTCCAGTTATATCACGGCGTGTCAGCTTAATGTGGGAGGTAAGCCCAAGTGATGCAGGTTTCAGGCGTTTTAGCATTTCTTTGAAACCCACGAGCACGGATATGGTGCTGACAAACCTAGAAACAATCGGCATGAACCGGGATTCGAACCCTCAATCATAGGTTTCTGGCGTGCCCAAGGGACAGCGAATCATGTCGTGCTTAATGTGCGTCAAACGGATTGTGTCGTGCGTCAAACGGATTGTCATTCGCGTCACACGGATTGTGTCATGTGCATCAAACAGATTGTGTCATTTGCGTCAAACTGATTGTGTTGTGTGCGTCAAACGGATTGTGTCATGTGTCAAACGGATTGTGTCATGTGCGTCAAACTGATTGTGTTATGTGCGTCAAACGGATTGTCATTTGCGTCACACGGATTGTGTCATGTGCGTCAAACGTATTGTGATATGTGCGTCAAACTGATTGTGTCATGTGTGTCAAACGGATTGTGTCATGTCCGTCAAACGGATGGTGTCATATATATCAAACTTTTGTTATGTGTACTTAACTGGTTGAGTCATTTATACTAAACTGTTTGTGTGTTTGTGACGAAAATGATTGTGCCACGTTTGCCAAATTGATGGTTTCATGTTCATCAACCTGTTTTTGTTATGTGTGTTAAACTGCTTGTGGTATGAGTTCCAGTCTGATTGTGACGTGCACTTATCACTTTCCCAGCAACATCCGTTTATTGTGGTTCCGCTTTGAACGATGTATTTGTCGAAATAGTGTAGATGGTGTGTTGAAGGAAGACAAGGATGTTTGCCTTTACACATCTAGAGGAAACACAAACATACATCGGATATACATCTGTACGAGGACGTAGACGCAGGCGACGGATCGCGATGTAAGTTTGCATGCGCGTTTGTAATGAGCGAGTGACTCAGTGAAGGATTGAAAGATATATTACATGTGCGAGTGAGGGAGAAACTATATGAGCGAGTGACTGAGTACTGAGTATTGAGTGAGATATTGAATGAGTGAGTGAGAGCTTAAATGAGTGAGTGAGACATTGACTGAGTGAGTGAGTGAGAGCTTAGGTGAGTGAGACTGAGTGAGTGAGACAAATTGAATGAGTGAGTGAGAGCTTAAGTGAGTGAGAGAGACATATTGATTGAGAGTGAGAGAATGAGTCGGTGAATCAGTGAGAGCTTAAGTGAGTGAGGCTGAGTGAGTGAGACAGGTATTGAATGAGTGAGTGAGAGATTAAGAGCTTAAGTGAGTGAGACATTGAATGAGTGAGTGAGGGCTTAAGTGAGTGAGGCTGAGTGAGTGAGACAGGTATTGAATGAGTGAGTGAGAGATTAAGAGCTTAAGTGAGTGAGACATTGAATGAGTGAGTGAGTGAGGGCTTAAATGAGTGAGGCTGAGTGAGTGAGACAGGTATTGAATGAGAGAGTGAGCGCTTAAGTGAGTGAGTGAGACATTGAATGAGAGAGTGAGAGAGTCAAAATCAACAATATTCCATATATATCACGACAACCTGTGTATAATCGCTTAAGTGAGTGAGGCTGAGTGAGTGAGAGGTATTGAATGAGTGAGTGAGAGCTTAAGTGAGTGAGTCAAAATCAACAATATTCCATATATATCACGACAACCTGTGTATAATCGCTTAAGTGAGTGAGTGAGAGGTATTGAATGAGTGAGTGAGAGCTTAAGTGAGTGAGACATTGAATGAGTAAGTGAGAGTCAAAATCAACAATATTCCATATATATCACGACAACCTGTGTATAATCGCTTAAGTAAGTGAGTGAGAGGTATTGAATGAGTGAGTGAGAGCTTAAGTGAGTGAGTCAAAATCAACAATATTCCATATATATCACGACAACCTGTGTATAATCGCGTCTGGACCAAGATCACTCGTCATCAGACAAATCACAGAGCCCGACCATCTGTCCCCTCTTCCGGCACGAGCGCCGGACATTTACACTTCAAACCATATTTACACTTGCTATTGTTTTAAAACACGGAAAGTGTACGAGCAAGGCTTATACCCAAGTTTTCTCTTTATCTCCGTTAAAAACAACATAACAGTTCCCTGTGTTAGTATGTTCAGCTGAAATGATTGAGTATCAATCATGGAAGTAGGCATTTCACAAACTGAGTCTCGGGATAAAGTAACTGTCGTGGTATTTATTTTCAACTTACCTTTTTTCTTCACTGTATTTTGTCGTACCCCCCAGGGATGATGACGGCATCGGGTGGTCAGGCTCGCTGACTTGGTTGATGCATGTCATCGATCCCAATTGCGTGGATCGATGCTCATGCTGTCAATCACTGGATCGTCTGGTCCAGACTCGATTATTTACAGACCGCCGTCATATCGGTGGGATATTGATGAGTGCGGCGTTAGAAAAACAAACAAACAAAACAAACAAAGCTGATGACGGACTGTTGTAACGGTGAGGGATGTTGGCTTTCTTCCGCCTACTGTTGGAAAGGCCGGGTCTGTGTGGACAAATCAGTCAATCTGCTGTCAAACAATTTCTATCCTGTAATTATAAAATGTGTTTTTCCCACATAAGGCTACATGCATCATTTCTAATTGTTCGTTGTTTAACGCCGCCCTAAGCTATTCCAGCTATATGACGGCGGTCTTTAAATGATCGAATCTGGACCAGACAATCCACTGATTGCCATCATGAGTATCCATCTACGCAACTGAGATACGATGACATGCATCAACCATGTGAGGGAGATCTGACCACCCGATCCCTTAAGTCGCCTCTTACAAGCATGGGTTGCTGAAGACCTTTTCTAACCCGGATCTTCACGGGTCGGTTACATGTAATGACGTGCCTGTTTCATCATATTTAATTCAACAAATTGGATCGAAAGGGATTTACATCTGCTTCTGAATTGAGCGGAAATAACATGGCGTTTTTCCCTAGATGACTAAACGTTGGTTGATTGATTGATTGATCATTGAAAGTTTTATAGGTGTTCGGGAAACAAGGTCCATTTATATCTTGCCAATATTAAAGGTTTGCAAAGTTCCTAGAAATTTAATAAAGTAACAATACTGTCACACGCTTAAATGTAAGCAAGAATTACACCCTGAACTTCATGGCGAACGATATTCCCAGAACATGATAATCCAGCTAATGAGAGGTCAAATTGAGAACTGTAAGAGTGAGTGAGTGAGTTAGTATGGTTTTACGCCGCTTTTAGCAATATTCCAGCAATATCACGGCGGGGGACACCAGAAATGGGCTTCACACATTGTACCCATATCAGGAATCGAACCCAGGTTTTCGGCGTGACGAGCGAACGCTTTAACCACTAGGCTACCCGACGGCTCGAGAACTGTAAGAAAGTCCACCATTGCCGCACCTTGATTTACATATTTTTGGCAGTGCAGTAAAGAATGATCCTCATTGTCAAGCTGGTTACACACTTACAATGTGAAGAAATGTCTGCATTAATATTTTTAAGATATGCACCAAGACCACAATGCCCAAGACGAAGTCTGGTTAAGAGAACCTCATCACTGTTCCATCTGTGAGGATTGGAATTTTATCCAAAACCCAGGCGTTGATCTGTATAACTATAATAAAACGTCAACAACTCATATGCCAGAGAGAAAAATAGAATTAATGGGTGAACAATCCTTTTTTTTACCCTTGGAGAGATATGAACCTAGACAAGAGACGATATACGTCGAGACAAACCAAACCAATAAAACAAGCCAGATTGTATTACTTCTTGTCAAGAGACCTTGAAATATCCATAGATAAAGTTGGTAAAGACCCTGCTTACAGATCAGATCACTCTATACATTGGATTTCGTTAAAAACAAATTGCATCGAGGTTTACTAATTCCCAACTAAACGACAAAACCTTTGTTGAAAGAACTAAAAAAGTAATTAAACCTACAACAGAACATTATAAAACAGGTGTCGATGAACAAGGCCATGACAGATTTAATATGGATGACCCATTTTTTTTAAACACTACTGTTGATGAGGTGAAATTGTACAATATTGAAGAAACCTAAAGAGGCAAACACCGGACTGGAAGAAATAAATAACATAAAAACAGAAGGAATAATCATGCCATCTCGCTCAGAATGGTGAGAAATGGACGAAAAGAAAACTAAATACGTATTTATCCTTAGAAAAAAAGAAAAACTATCTGAATAAGGCTATAGTTAAGCTTGAAGCAAAGAATGGACTTACATACGTAAAAAGCAGGGTCTAATAGCATGCATTCCAAACAAGAAAAATACAACCAGCACTTAAAAAATTGAGTCCAATTTCACTATAAAAAGACCCCTATAAGATAGCATCTTCTATAACAAATAGAATTAACAAGGCCAACATAATTAATGAGGATCAAAGAGGTTTTACGTCAGAACGATACATTGGAGAATGCACTACATTAATTTATGATATTATGGACTTTACTGAATGCATGGAAAACCAAGGATTGTTAGACTTTTAAAAGGCGTTTGATTCAGGAGATTGGGATATCATTCAAGAAGCTTTGATTTTTTGTTAACTTTGGACATTCAGTTAAGCACTGGATAACAACCTTCTATCACGATATAAAATCCGGTGTTTTAGTAAACGGTTTTGCTCAAGATTTTTTAAAGTAACAAGAGGATGTAGACAAGGTGATCCTTCATCTCCTTATATATTCTTGTTATGCGCTGAAACTTTGGCAGTAATACTATGCACTAATAAAACAAATAAACGGATTAAGTATTGATGAGATAGAAGATCTATTTTCTCAATTTGCAGACGATACATTAGATGAAACTGAAGAATGTCTCCAAAACACAATGACAACTCTTCAAACATTTGCGTCTTTTCTTTTTCAGGCCTAAAAATTAACAGTTTAACATGAATACCCCACACAGACACAGTATACTGACTCCGAGGAAACCAGTCAACAACAAGTACCATCTTATAACGTCTTTTTGGGATCGAACCCCGGACCTTTCGCTCTCCGGGCGGACGCTCTACCATTAGACCACGAAGGCAGCCCATGATAGGAGAAGATCCCACATCAGAAATTAGAACAACTGGGGACAGTGATTTAGTGGCTTATGAACTTTAGGAACCTTTAGCTGACCATGAGCAATATCTAAATCCCCAAGCGTCTTTCGAGCAGCCTGAGAATAAGACAGTTTACCCTCAGCTCTGACTTTCTGGATCTGGACTGATTCCTGGTATTTAATACATGCTGCCGAGTGAGCTTTCACCAACACGGGCTTGTAACGCAAAAAATAGAAGCTACACGATATATGCTCACACCCAGTGTCAGTATACTGTGTAAAGGACCTTATATATAGTACACTGACACTGGGAGTGGCCATATATCTGGTAGCTGCTATTTTTAGCGTTACAAGCCCCTGTGCTTTCACCACAGTTCTTACATTTAAGAAAACCTTCATTGCACCCCTCATATGTGCAATGTGGCGCAAACATGATGAGTGCCTCTACGCTTGGCAGAGACACGCCCAAGGGGCTGACATTTGAAGCAGCAAAGAGCAGAAGGAACATTCATCCGGATGGGAAATCTCTGGGGGAAAATTAACATCATCTGGTCCTGTGGTATTCGTTGTTCCATATCATCTCAGATATGTTCATGTTGAAGGTTGTATCTTAGTCCGCTTCTATTTAGTATTTGGGTTTATAAACCAACTTGAAGATGTATTACAGCAGCATGGCGGGAGAGGTATGTTTGTTGGTGCATGCTTTTCAGACTGGCTTTTACTGTCATATGAAGATGATTTGTGTCTGTTTTCTGATAGTGTTATTGGTTTGCAAAAACAAATACAAATATTATGGAAATTTTGTTCAAAGCGATGCTTGAAAGTTTCTTCAATAAAACTGACATCCTTGTGTTCCATGACCGTGGTAAAGTTTAGGATACTGAAAAATAAACTACGGTTATAACGAACTAAAAGGGACCTTATTTTTAGTTCGTTATAATCGTAGTTCGTTATAGGCACATATACAGCCATATACAGGAAATGGACGGGGCACAAAATCAATTCGTTATATCGTCAGTTCGGTATAGGCGTGTTCGTTATAAACGTAGTTTACCGAATAAAGATATTGCCCTGAAAACCTCAACCTAATATAGTTAACTTGGTACCACATTTTCAAATAGACTTTCATGGTCAAAATCAGTGCAAACACTTATTCACAAAGCTAGTAGAGCACTTTTTCCTATAAAACAGTTGCAGTCGAAATTAAAACATTTTGCTCCCACCGTTCTCTTTAAAATGTTTGATTCTCAAATAAAACTGTCGCATTCATCCGCGGTATTGGGCGGGCATGAATGGGAGGCACTAGAACAGTTTCATGTAAAATATTGTAAATATGTTCTCGGTTTTTCTGCTATTTTGTTGTTTGTTGTGTTGTGTGTTGTTTAACGCCGCACTCAGCAATATTCCAGCTATATGACGACGGTCTGTATATAATCGAGTCTAGACCAGACATTCCAGTGATTGAAATCATCAACCAAGTCAGCAAGCCTGACCACCCGATCCAGTAAGTCGCCTCTTTTTACGTCAAGCATGGGTTGCTGAAGACCTATTCTACTACAGATCTTCATGAGTATCTTCTACTCCTGCAGCTGTTTCAAGTGAGTGTGGTCGGTGTAATATATATTGTGATTCATTCACCAGATGCAATAAATATTGGTGTAAATTTGTATGTATGCCGGATACTAGATATCCAAAACAATGGTATGACATGTTGAGAAGATTGGACGAGGAAGGCAGAACTACATGGGCCGCAAATGTTCAGAAATTACTTTATTCATATGGTTTTAATTATGTATGGAATAATCACGGTGTCGGAAACACTGATTTATTTCTTTTAGAATTTCAAGTTAAATGAGCATTCAAATTTAGATTTTTATTCCACTATAAAGTCAACTTTCGCAATTGAACCATATTTGCTTCATACACACCAAAGAGACCAAAGATGATATTTAACATTATTAAGAAATAATTATTACAAATTATGAAAAATATAGGTAGGCGGGAGGGTGTAGCTAGAAACCTTAGATTTTGTCCCTTTTTTGTAAAATGATCATAGAAGATGAGTTAGATTTTTTGTAAGTATGCCCAGCCTATGATATTTTAGGACACATATCGTCCCAACATTAACTTTAAAAATGAATATTCTCTCAAATCTTTACTCCAAACTTCTAACATTGAAACCATGTCATGTGCTAAATGTATTTCAAGATGCCCCATCTTTACGTTCTCATTATTATAATTCTAATTTGTAATTTAACTGTGCTCTGTACCTCTTGTTATTGTACAACCACTTTGCATATAATACGTGTATCTATATTGTTCTTTTGCCTTTGCCCTAAAATTGAAATAAACTATTGGGGAAGAGTTCTGGAGAAAAAACCGGCCATGGCAGTACAGCAATGTTATCCTCAAAATGTCAGTTACAACACATTCGACTTGTAGGTTGGCATTATCCTGCTGCAAGTGATGTTACTTCCTGCGGTTGCACGGAGGGTAGAACAGTACCAGTAGCGTACTTCATTCAAAATGCCATTAACAATGGTGAGTTGTGTTCTCCCAAGATACAAACCCATACCATCACACTGACGACGTCAGTAACGCAGGTGTCGCGAAAACGTTCTCCCGGATGCCAGTAGACTCTTGTTGCACGACCTTCAGAACGATCCAGATGAATCCTGGACTCATCTGTGAACAGGATCCTGTCCCAGTCTTGCCTTATAAACCTCAGATGCCGTCTACACCAAGCTCTGCTTGCCTGATGGTGACGCAGAAATGAAACTGTGCCTATCGCGGAAGGATGGGGTGGATGTTGCGCTCCCTCCACCAGTAGTGTAGGTTCTGCTACTAATTGGTCTCAACCAAGCAATTGTCCGAGCTGTTGATGTATCAGTTTGGTATCAAAAAGTCTATGAACAAATAGTTGCAGTGCAATGACAATCAGGAACCATCTCATATCTCCCGACTGAGAAATAGATATCAGTTTACGGATTCAAATACAAACCGAAGTGACTGTTTAGGACTTAGTAAATGTTTAATGCAGTCATGACATTGCTTCAGGAGAATATACAAAAGAGCACATAAACAATCCCTTCCCAATGACAATCTAAAAAGAATTGTGCAAATTTCAATTGCCTAGCAACACTGTCCACATGGACTTCTGTTTTAGATCCAGTGTGCAGACTCAGCATAAAGTGAAACCAACATAAAACTATATAGAAGCCCTTTGGTCTAATTTGTTCCCACAGCAGAATTTGTGCACAGGTGGCCAAGTCGTCTTCGGCGCCGCAATTTGCTGTGCAGAGGTGCATTCCTTGGGCACGCCAGAAACCTGTGAAACCGGTTCGCCCCAATTATGTTTCTAGGTTTGTCAGCACCATACCCGTGCTCGTGGGTTTCACCGAAGTAGTAAACATCTAAGACCTGCATCACTTGAGGCTTTCCTCCCACATGAAGCTGACAAGCCGTGATATAACTGGAATACTGTTAAAAGCAGCATTAAACCCAACTCACTCACTCACTCCAGTAGGAGGATCTGCAGGACAGCTTATGACACACTGGGCCCTTAGCAGTAATAAATTGTGTAAGGCACATCAGAAAACTCTGACTGACCTTCTACATCCATGTTAGAATAGGGTATTAAACAACATTCAGTCACAAGCAGTTAGCTGAACCCTTCAGGTTCAGTCGGTCCACATCCAACACATCAGGCAGCGACACAGTAGCAGCTTTATTACCAGGAAATGATTATTTACATGGGACAATAGCAGCATAAATGATGAGAATAATGTATAATGTATGAGTATAATGTACATCAGCTTAGGAAAAACTATCTCCATTCTATTATGATAAAAACACATGGACCATTGAACCAGGTGGGAGTGAGACAGAATGGATCTTGCTCATAATATCAATCACTGGTATATCTTTTTCATGCTGAGTTCAGTGTTGAACAACATACAAATGTTTTGCTTAGTTTTTCTTGTTCCATTATAAACAAACCAATTTCAGAATACTGTAAACCTTGAAATTAACACGAGTAGGAATTAAATGTGAAAAATGCGAGTTGGCTTTGTTCGCATTAATTAACTCCGCATTTATGTCTCCAAAATGACTATCAACAATAAGACTGCCTCACTGCACACTTTGGATAGCAGAAATACCAACTTAAATATAAACGCAAACACGGTTTATTGAGCAGCAGTTGTAACAAGTATATACCAATGTCATTCAAAGAATAGGAACAGGGGTGACCCAGACGTCTAAGGCGCCACAATTCGCTGTGCAGAGTTGCGTCCCTTGGGTGCGCCAGAAACCTATGATTAGGGTTTCGAATGCCAGTTCGCCCCGATTATGTTTCTGAGTTTGTTAGCACCATACCCGTGCTCATGGGTTTAACAGAAGTGGTCTTTCCTCCCACATTAAGCTGACATGCCGCGATACAACTAAACCTGTTAAAAGCGGCGTTAAACCCAACTCACTCACTCACTCATTCCCATGGGGATGGGGTTGGGGAATCGCATTGATATTGAGTCGCATTTTTGGCGAGGGGTCAGCAGTCGTATTAAGTTGGAGACGCATTAATTTCCAGATTTACAGGATATTTGATCTGAACTGTGAGTATAAAAATACAAAATACAGCAGAATGATGTTAGCTTTCAAATATGACTTGACATATGCTGCTCCATGACAGACTTTCACAGCCATTTTGTCAGCGTGAGCTGGCAAGTGTGGCTCGTGAGTTTGACAGACGCTTAAGAATTGACTTTCACTTTGTGTGAGTTCACTAGAGTATGAACCTTCATAGAGTGAGGACCAAACTGCATGAACGTCAGAGCTTTCACACACAGAAAATGTTATCACAATTACTTACCTCAAAGGATGTAGGCCAAGATCTATACACAATTTTATTTAATACCGTGACTTCATGTGAACACTGACTGGCATACAACAACCAGTTATATCGCGAAGTGAAATAGTTTCTCAAATACAGAGGTGACATGAGCATATAAAACAACTTACGCAACACATTTATTCAAATAATATCAGCATTAGATGAGAAAGATCTGTTAAGAACTACCTCAATGCCATGACAGCACGTCGTAATACATTTACATCAAGTACAAGACGTCAAAATGGCCGACATGATAAGCGTGATGGGAGAGATTTCGGGTGTTGCTAATGGACCTATGACGGTCACCCTACAGTCATCCTACAGACAGTCATCCCACAGTCATCCTACAGACAGTCACCCTACAGACAGTCATCCTACAGACAGTCAATCCCCAAAGTCCCCAGGCAGTGGTGTGGGTGTAGCTTCACCCTCATGTCATAGTGATGTGCATGCTGGGTACATATCTATCTACAAATTGCACTACATGAAATACTCCTTTTAAGCAGTGTTCTTTGACACAAATAAAGAAATATTGCCTCTTTTGTTTGGAAGTCTCAGATCACTTCAGAATGACCTTTAAGAATACTGCAAAGACTTTTTTGTAAAATGCCTGCTCTTTGGCTGGGTAATACATATCAGAGGCCTACTGGACTCCTGGCTACTAGAATCGTGATGTGACTCCTTGCTACTGGACTCCTGGCTACTAGAATCGTGACGTGACTCCTGGCTACTGGACTCCTGGCTACTAGAATCGTGACGTGACTCCTTGCAACTGGAGTCCAGGGGTATCAAAACTGCTGAATAAGAAGAAGCAGAGGGCCCAGACTGTGAGCAGGAACTGGCAACGAAACTTACTGATCCCGATAAGGGAAGACAGTGGTCGATGGTCTGTTCATCACAATACTTCCAAATCAAGTCATCATGTTCCTCTTTACTTGAGTCCTGCACAGATCCATCCCCTATTGCGGCAAACTGCCTGTACTCCGACACACAACTCTGGCCAGAGTTGTCCCACAGGCTCTCCTCTGTGACGTCTTCAGCTGAAGTGCCTGGAATTTGTTGTGAACCTTCTGTAGATGGATGTGCTCCTCCTGTAGATGGATGTAAACCTCCTACAGATGGATGTGCTCCTCCTGCAGATGGATGTAAACCTCCTGCAGATGGATGTGCTCCTCCTGCAGATGGATGTAAACCTCCTGCAGATGGATGTAAACCTCCTGATGCAGATGCTTTTCCTGGATTACGTGAAGACTCCTTCCTTGCTTCGGATGACTCTTCGTGTATTTCTGGGTGGTCTGCATCACACTTGATTGTTGGATCAGATGGGTGACTGACTCCCGACATCTCCCTCTCCCTCACAGCTCCTTTATCCATGACTGCTGCCAGACTGGCATCGGTGCCCATGCTGGCATTGCCACTATCTCTGAGAGGCTTGTGCTTGGGAGTTGTCACATCTTCTTTTGTGTCAAACTGTGGAGAAATATAAAACAATATTACAAAATTGAGAAAATTAGGAGACAAGCCAACTATACGTTTTCAAATTAGAAGTTTCTAACATAGATTTGATACCTGTAAATATTATTCAGAATTTGTGAGCTCGAGGTTTTTAGAATTGAAATGAAATATAGGCTTTGAGACCTATGAAATGAATACAGGATACCATATTTTCTACCGGTATTTGAGTAGAAGTGATGAATGATTGCATCCATTGAGTCAAACAGTTTCAGTAGGTTGGATGGCTGAATCTAGAGATGAATGGCTAAAAGTTTTACTCAGTGGGTGGGTGAGGATTGGCATTGTGTTGTCTTGACCCTTTCTGCTACACACAACAAGCATTTTCTATTCACTTATAGTACAGATTGTAACCAATGGCAAAAGAAATATACTTGACTTGACTTTTTGATATAGCAATTTCAACAAATTGTACCTAATGTTTCAATTGGGTAGTGACGTCAAGGAACGACTTACTATCAACTCAACACTATTACACACATGAGGAGGAAGTACTTACTACCAACTCAATACCAACTATCGCATAGATGAGCGGGGCTTACAGACGTCGGACCCGGATGGATCTTTGTCTAGTAATCAATGAGTAATAAAGTCCATATTGTGAATGACAAAACAATGGAAACTTGAAAGGAAACTTGGATGGTTCTGTCACTTTTACCTGATTGAAGTAGGGTGAGACTATTACTGGTCTCCCATACAGCTGGTAATGCCTGATAGAATAAGGACTTGCTTATCTAAATTATCTGGAAAAGGTCATTCATGACAGTCTGATTTACTGTAAACTCCTTCACATAAGGCTTAAAAATATAAAAGAATTGCTTCTCAGGCAATGGCTTTTGAAAATATAGACGGGGAGGCGGTGGCTTTTTTGGGGGGGTGTTCAGACTAGTATGTAAACCAACTAAACAGTTGTGTACAATCAACCTGGGAAAGGGCCTCCCTACATAAATGTATTCCTTGATGAGTAAAAAACTGGAATCCAGTATTGGACTACCAGTGTGTGCATAGTACATGCACACAATGAGCTTTGATTTTATTTCATAATGCGAACATGTTAATTTATTTTGAATAACCCCCCAAAAAACTAAACCTGCAGTGGACTTTATGATGATGCGAGTGGTGCATGATTAGTTGGTTGGTTGGTTGGTTGTTTAACGCCGCACTCAGCAATATTCCAGCTATATGACGGCGGTCTGTAAATAATCGAGTCTGGACCAGACAATCCAGTGATAAATATCATGAGCATCGATCCAGGCAATTGGGATCGATGACATGCATCAACCAAGTCAGCGAGCCTGACCATCCGATCCCGTTAGTCGCCTTTTACGACAAGCATAGTCGCCTTTTACAGCAAGCATGGGTTGCTGAAGACCTATTCTACACCCGATCTTCACGGGTACACGTGGTGCATGAGAACCAAGACTATTATTTTAGCCTAATACATAAAGGGACGTAATGTTCAAGACTGCTATTTGGAATGTACAGTCAAACACCACTGTGTCAAAGTTGAAGAGACCTACATTAATTCGAGTTATCCAGGGTTGGACACGATCGAAACATGAAGTCCATTGACATACATTTACAGACTGAAGAACACAAACAATATAAGACAACAAGCAATGGGAAAATGAAATAAATGTCAACTTATCAGAGTACATTTGGACTAGAAGTACGTGTTTGGGGCTGGAAAATGACATTGAGATAACAGTAACTTCAAGACATCTGATTCGAAACACCAGAGGTTAAACAATGATGAATATAGAAGGAATATGCAGGGACCAAGACAACCGTAAGTCTGACATATCTGTGTTTATCTGTAGATATATGATGAGCTAAGATTTTTTGTTTGTTTTGTTTGTTGTTTAACGCTGCACTCAGCAATATTCCAGCTATATGACGGCAGTCTGTAAATAATCGAGTCTGGACCAGACAATCCACTGATTGACCTCATGAGCATCAACCCATGCAATTTGGATACAATGACATGCATCAACCAAGTCAGCGAGTCTGACCACCCTCTTACGACAAACAGTCGCTTTTTACAGAAAGCATGGGTTGCTGGAGACCTATTCTACCCCGGATCTTCACGGGTGTGAAGAGAAGAAGAGACATTTGATTGGTTGTGGATTTCAAGCTCATGAACTTGTCAATAAGCGATGAGAGATCAAGATGGTGACATTGCTTCAGAACAGAAGTTATGGTGGTGAATGAAACCAGGTCATTGAAGACATAATACACAACTCGGGGACACAGAAGTGATTAACTAAAGTACTCACGGAAATGAAAAAACCCCGTTTTTTCGATCTCAGATTTTAAATAAATGCAGTTAATATACAAAATATATAAATATTCAAACAACTCAATTAGTACTAATTGGGCCTTGGCACAAATACAGCGTATCAAAGGTTTTTATGTCTTTTTACACGTATTGTGAAACTGAGCATAACCAGGTGTTAGTAGATCAAGGTGAATGTCCATGACCTATGACACCTTGACGACAGGTGAAAACAGGTGCTTGAAACCCAAGTGCATGTGATTTGTCAGTGGTTAGTGATTTGTGAGTGGCATTGTGGGATAGTTAATCATCGTCAAAATATCAGAACGTAAAAGTAACATATTCCCTTCTCAAAAAACAACTTACATGTCATTATTATTATGTACATAAACATAGCTGTTAACTTTTTTTCCAGGCTAATTTGCATAATGCCTATAGCCTGTTTCTACAATGTCAATTTGGACTTAGTTTTATTTTTGAATGTTGAAAGTGCCTACAAATTACCTCCTGTAAAGTACATTTTGTATTGAGCACTGAGATAAAACTAGCAAATCCAGACTAGTACTTTTCCAGTTGTTTTGTTATTTCGTATTTACATCTACGTAATGCTTTGTGTTTTTTTCATTTCCAAGAATACTTTAGCACAAAGTTTTTATTTTCACAAGAATACAGACCCCAGGACTTTGCTGCATGGTGTATCAGGGAACGCTTGATAGCTTAAGGACTCTTCATACCGGGGCCACTGGTGGCCGACTCTAGGCTTAAGGCTTTGATGTGCGGAGTTGTGTCCCTTGGGCACGTCAGAAACCTATGATTGTGGGTTCAAATCCTGGTTCCCTCCAATTATGTTTCTAGGTTTGTCAGCACCATACATATGATGGTGGATTTCACCAAAGTGGTCATCTTCCTGAGGCAAGTGAGTTAACTGACTATAAAAGTCCAGTTTCCACCCCTGCCGAACTAGGCTGGTATTATGGAGTTACATTTTGGCTGGACTTACGAGTCCCTGCACAGTCCAATCAAAATCGCGCACCGAAATTGAAATCCGGTTCGTAAAGTGCAGATTTCGGTCGACTGCAGCATTTGCAAAGCATGTGCACCACTAACTCGTTGTCAACAGATATTTTCTAAATCTTTTCATGTTTTCAATCAAGGTGCTCACGTGATTTGATGCACTTTGCGATGTAAGACTCGTTTTATCACAATTTAGATCTTGATTATCAATCAGATCGTCTTTACTGGGCGCTACCATTTTGTTTGAAGCAAATGAAAATGATACGAGAGGTTGAATCTGATTGGTCAATAGGAGAGGCACAGAATGGGGCGCTATGATCGAGCCAAGGAATTCCAGCCAAGTTCGGCAAGGGTGGCAACTGGACTTTTAAAGTCAGTTAACTCTCTTGCCTCGGGAAGATGCAAAGTGGTAAACGTCTGAGACCTGCTTCAATTCGGGCTTTCTCCCACATTAAGCTGACAAGCTTAGATTTACCGGTAACTGAAATATTGTTCAACGTTATGTTAAACCCAACTCACTCACTCTTTATGCTGAAAAAAAACCCACTTTGTCCAGCTAAAACATCATTAACAACAGTCTTGTGATATAAGTGAGTGTATCAATTGCTGTCTTGTACACTTGAACGCCTAAACTTATCAGCAATAATGTGATAGACTGATAGTCACCTTGTTGTCGAGGAGGTGATGCTTGAATTCGGGTAGATGAATTACGTAGTTACTGCACATTCCCTTTTTCTTCATGAAATAGCAACATCTGCAACATCATCACAATTGTTACCTCAAGAACAGGCAACATAACTGATAGGGCTGGGATGGGTAACACAGGTACTTGGGTCGGGTGGGTAGTGAGTAGGACCTGGGTACCCACAGGACTACCCAGAACCGTGGTTAGTCACATGGTATATTGTTTAATGACAAAAGGTAACTCGAACTGTAAGTTTAAAGAACAAGTCACTAATGTTCCCGGTTCTTTCTGACTATGCGCCCATACCTTCTGACTTTCATATGTCTAAATAAAAACAAAACTTCCATCAACTTCAGTGTATGCATGACCAGGTTGTTTTATACGTGTACATTAATACATTTTGCCAGTGCTACAGTCAAAAGCAATGACAAATAGCAAAATATCAATTTGAAATATCTTGGAAGTCTATGTCAGGTTCATTCCTATTCTATGAATCTAAATCTGTTGTAAAGTCATGCTGAATCTAAGTCTGTTAAAGTCATGCTGAATCTAAGACTGTGTTAAAGTCATGCTGAATCTAAGTCTATGTTAAAGTCATGCTGAATCTAAGTCTATGTTAAAGTCATGCTGAATCTCAGTCTGTTAAAGTCATGCTGAATCTTAGTCTGTTAAAGTCATGCTGAATCAAAGTCTGTTAAAGTCATGCTGAATCTAAGTCTGTTAAAGTCATGCTGAATCTAAGTCTGTTAAAGCCATGCTGAATCTTAGTCTGTGTTAAAGTCATGCTGAATCTTAGTCTGTTAAATGTAATGCTGAATCTTAGTCTGTTAAAGTCATGCTGAATCAAAGTCTGTTAAAGTCATGCTGAATCTAAGACTGTGTTAAAGTCATCCTGAATCTTAGTCTGTGTTAAAGTCATGCTGAATCTAAGTCTGTTAAAGTCATGCTGAATCTAAGTCTGTTAAAGTCATGCTGAATCTTAGTCTGTGTTAAAGTCATGCTGAATCTAAGACTGTGTTAAAGTCATGCTGAAGCTAAATCTGTGTTAAAGTCATGCTGAATCTAAATCTGTGTTAAAGTCATGCTGAATCTTAGTCTGTGTTAAAGTCATGCCGAATCTTAGTCTGTGTTAAAGTCATGCCGAATCTTAGTCTGTGTTAAAGTCATGCTGAATCTAAGACTCTGTTAAAGTCGTGCTAAATCTAAATCAGTGTTAAAGTCATGCTGAATCTAAATCTGTGTTAAAGTCGTGCTGAATCTAAATCTGTGTTAAAGTCATGCCGAATCTAAATGTGTGTTAAAGTCATGCTGAATCTAAATCTGTGTTAAAGTCATGCTGAATCTAAATCTGTGTTAAGGTCATGCTGAATCTAAATCTGTGTTAAGGTCATGCTGAATCTTAGACTGTGTTAAAGTCATGCTGAATCTAAATCTGTGTTAAGGTCATGCTAAATCTAAGTCTGTTAAAGTCATGCTGAATCTAAGACAGTGTTAAAGTCATGCTGAATCTCAATCTGTGTTAAAGTCATACGGAATCAAAGTCATTGTTAAAGTCATGCTGAATCTAAATCTGTGTTAAGGTCATGCTGAATCTTAGTCTGTGTTAAAGTCATGCTGAATCTAAATCTGTGTTAAAGTCACACTGAATCTTAATCTGTGTTAAAGTCATGCTGAATCTAAATCTGTGTTAAGGTCATGCTAAATATAAGTCTGTTAAAGTCATGCTGAATCTAAGACAGTGTTAAAGTCATGCTGAATCTAAGTCTAGGTTGAAGTCATGCTGAATCTTAGTCTGTTCAAGTCATGCTGAATCTAAATCTGTGTTAAAGTCATGCTGAATCTTAGTCTGTGTTAAAGACACGCTGAATCTAAGTCTGTTAAAGTCATGCTGAATCAAAGTCTGTGTAAAAGTCATGTTGAATCTTAGTCTGTGTTAAAGACATGCTGAATCTAAGTCTGTTAAAGTCATGCTGAATCATAGTCTGTGTTAAAGTCATGCTGAATCTAAATCTGTGTTAAAGTCATGCTGAATCTTAGTCTGTGTTAAAGTCATGCTGAATCTTAGTCTGTGTTAAAGTCATACGGAATCAAAGTCATTGTTAAAGTCATGCTGAATCAAAGTCTGTGTTAAAGTCATGCTGAATCTTAGTCTGTGTTAAACTCATGCTGAATCTTAGTCTGTGTTAAAGTCATGCTGAATCTTAGTCTGTGTTAAAGTCATGCTGAATCTTAGTCTGTGTTAAAGTCATGCTGAATCTAAGTCTGTTAAAGTCATACTGAATCTTAGTCTGTGTTAGAGTCATGCTGAATTTAAATCTGTGTTAAAGTCATGCTGAATTTAAATCTGTGTTAAAGTCATGCGGAATCTTAGTCTGCGTTAAAGTCATGCTGAATATAAATCTGTGTTAAAGTCATACGGAATCAAAGTCATTGTTAAAGTCATGCTGAATCTAAATCTGTGTTAAAGTCATGCTGAATCTAAATCTGTGTTAAGGTCATGCTAAATATAAGTCTGTTAAAGTCATGCTGAATCTAAGACAGTGTTAAAGTCATGCTGAATCAAAGTCTGTTCAAGTCATTCTGAATCAAAGTTGTTAAAGTCATGCTGAATCTTAGTCTGTGTTAAAGACATGTGGAATCAAAGTCTGTTCAAGTCATTCTGAATCAAAGCTGTTAAAGTCATGCTGAATCAAAGTCTGTTCAAGTCATGCTGAATCTTAGTCTGTTCAAGTCATGCTGAATCTTAGTCTGTGTTAAAGACATGCTGAATCCAAGTCGTTGTTAAAGTCATGCTGAATCTAGACAGAAGTGAGATGTATTGGGGCTTCAGACTAGTGACTTATGTTCCGATGAAGTGTGGACTTACCCTCCTAAAGCAATGGCAACGGCAACTATAAGAACCACTAAGACGACAACTCCCGTTACAATGATTCCTGTTCCAGGGCCATCTACTTTCACAACTGAAACAGATTTCAAACATTGTTTACAATGACTGCAATAATCATTTAAGTTGGAAAGTCCATTTTCTGCACAGTATGCACTGAAAACAAATATTTTGCTCATATAATATTCAAATATATTGAGATCCAGTTTCCTGATCTGCGCACCAGAAATGAACGGTGGATATCACTGTTTGCAATGATATTGGAGCAATAAGAATTTCTTGAAAAATTTCACTTGTCTCATGACTAGAAGTTGTGTCTGAATGTGGATTATCTTGCATACCAACTGTTCGTTTATCTGAAGACCACACCATCCCCGCCCTGCTGTGTCCACGTCCTGACACAGCATACAGACAATCTGGGTCACAGTCCAGGTCCTCCTCCTTTATCTGCATCCTGCTGGCAACATCCTGATGCTGAATTTCATCCTGAGAAAAGAAACTTTTATCACTCTCACATTCGCTTTGATTTGTCCTATGTCTGCACTTAGTGGATGATTGTGAAATATGGTTGTCTGCACTTAGTGGATGATTGTGAAATATGGTTGTCTAAACTCAGTGGACGATTGTGAAATATGGTTGTCTAGGTTCAGTGGATGACTGTTAAATATGGTTGTCTAAACTCAGTGGATGATTGTGAAATATGGTTGTCTAGGTTTAGTGGATGATGGTGAAATATGCTTGGCCACCCAAGCATAGGTCCGAGATAAGATGATTTCATTTATGTATGGGGCAGAGCTCCAGATAAGCTGCGTATCTGCGTAAAATATGCATCAGAAATGCAGAAATACGCAGTAGAATAAAATCCAAGCGTATCAAATACGCAACAAACATTACAGATACGCTACAAAAATAAAACTTGTGCGTATCATCAAAATATTGTGAAGTAACCCTGCGTATTCGATTAGCAAATCAGCAACTTATTTTGAAATTATAAACGGGCATTCCGTCAACCTTGCCAAACTCCACGATGACAGTTACATCATGATCATTTGCCATCACACTTTCTTGTGGAAGTATCATGGTATTTTTGAGTCCTATAAAGCTCTCGAACCTACACGACACCAGTTTGCAGGGACTAGATGAATAGTGTTTTAAAATAGTTAACTTAAATACCCACATGTGTAAAAACTAGTGGGAAACAGAAACTTGAATACCCAGATAGAATTACTGATACCCAATGATTTTAAAATGCATGGGTAAAATACCCACAACACCAAAAGCTTATCTGGAGCTCTGATGGGGTATTCACAGCCAGGCATCCAAAACTCAAAAATACTTGTACTTAAAACAGTTTTACTTGACATTTTCATAGGAATGTTATCAGTAATTGTCTGCTTATGACATGATGTGTCCTTGAAATACAATGACCTCATGAAACAAACATCTTTAAGACAACGCATTTCTGTCAGATAATAATCCAACCATGTGGATTGTTGACCTGGCTACTAGCTACTGGTCCATTATTTTTCTCCACAGTGAGGAAAAACTTCCAACCAAGAATACTAACACACACACACAACACGTTAATACAATGTCACATGTCAAGCTCCAATAACAGGGTCTGCCTCATATGACTGACTGACTTGCATTTTTCCTCAGCCTCACAGTCCATCTTGACATGGCAAGAACATTGCTGACTGCAGGGCCAAACAATACACTAGTGACCTGTCGTAAGAGGCGACTGACGGGTGGTCAGGCTCGCTGACCTGCTTGATGCAGGTCATCATATCCCAGTTGTGTGAATCGATGCTCATGATGTCAATCACTGGATTGTCTGGTCCAGATTCAATTATTTACAGACCGCCATCATATAGCTGGAATATTGCTGAGTGCAGTGTTAAACAACAAACAACTTGGTAAACTTGCTAAACTAACATAAGCATAATTTTCTACTTATTCTACACAATTGTTGATGGTATCAACACTGGAATTAACACTTCATGTTGTTATTGAGTCTTGGGTATTTTTTAACATTTGCTGTCATAAATTGTTTGAAAGGTATTTCTTAGAAGCTGACGGATGATGGAGTACACACAATTATGGATAACAACTTTATTATTTCGTTATAACGTTCTTTTAGAATACAACTTGACAAAGGTATAAGGATCTACGGTATACTGAAATGTTGCTATTGCAGTATAATAAAAAAGTCGTTAGGCTAAAAAATAAAGTAGTCTTGGTTCTCAGGGAGTACATAGACAATAATTTAAGAGTGACGAGGAATGACGGATTATCTGTTCCGAGTGAAATTAAAGTTGTAACTTTCAACATTAATTTCAAGAGGGACAGATAATCCGTCATTCTTCATTATGAGTAGTTTATTGTTTTTATTATCAATCGTCAAGTTTTAAATAAGAAGCTAAAAAGACATGAAACAGTATATTCTAAAAACAGAGGCGAAGTCGCATTTCACAATATTCATACACATGTGAAAAGGCATTGAATTTGTGGAATTTTACCGAATCACATACAGTCCACACTCATACACTAAGATTCCTTGAATGCAAAATATTTCATTTGCGGGGCATTATTTCTTCAACAATTTAAGCAATATAATGAATTTTAATATAATACATTTTGATTCATGTATAGTAGTACAACCATGAATTCAATATGTCTTGGAATTGTTGTTACAAACTTCAAACACGTGTCGACAGTGTTCCGTCAGTCGCCTCACTTCACTAGTTCTCATGACTGCGTAAAGAAAACCAAAACTATTGTCGGTCTGCACATTCTCAACAACAAACTGTGTAAACTGATTCTACAACAAGTTAGGTTTATTTGACACCCTCTTTCAAGTGAGCGTGTGTCTTACTTTTTGAAACAACGGTTAATGTCGTTGTCTTTTGTTCTCTCGCCTGCTGTCATAGAAATTAGTTTTATACTGCGGCTACGCTATTGCTTCACTATAATAATCCCAATGTTGTTTTTCATTCTCTCTGAAATGTCTTGCATTTAGTATACATGTACAAGGAGGGACTTGACGCTCGTCCAGACGCTAAAACTGTTCAATGGCCACACATGCATTATGTTCTCTATTCTTCCAACTAAATTACCATCAATCTTCACAAGATTGTTCACTTTTATCAGTGATAGGAATGTTGACATTGTTCTTTTATCTACATGCTGGGATAGCAGACGATTTAGTCAATCAAATTTACTGTACTTACAAATCTTATTAGTTTTTAAGTTTTGTGTCGTCCATTATCGTGAACAACATGATTTTGTAGATTTTAAATGACAAGTCTCGTATGGCAGAAACTTATTTGAGGAAAAAGATGAATTAACATGCTGAATGAGAAAAAGTAGTTCCGGCAATGCGTTATTAAACAAAAAGTTTCATGATTTCTAAAACAGCCAATCAGCATTAAACCAGTGCCATAACCTCCCTAGGGAGGTAACAGGAAAAATACTAACACACATCTCCCTTTCCATATGGGAAATAAATTAATATACGGAGGCCCTTACCCTTACTGTTTATTTGGTTACATACTGGTCTGAACAAAAAATAAAATATAAATAAAACCCGCATTATAGTTTCAAAAGCCATGCAATTCTTTTAGTTTTTAAAGCCTTATCCATAAACTGTGTCCACTTTGTTTTCAGTTTTCGATGAATTATGTCACTCAAATTCCTTTGTTGAAGAAAGATTATGATGATGATGAAGTACCTGGCATCTGGCAACGTTCATGTTCTTCTTCATTTTCCCATGGCAGTAATAAACTCGGAAGTATTTTTCTGCTCTCAATACTTTCCACTTCAAGACGCCGTCCTCCTGATACACGTAGTCAATAGACTGAGTCTCTGCAAAGAAAAATAGTCCACCATGTTGGAACCTTGCTCACAGAAATAATGTTACAGAAAAAATTAATTTCTTAACAGTTTTTGACAATTAAACAGTGGGGGCAATTCAATCAATGTGGTATACATAGAGGTTATCATGCCAATGCTCGCTAAATACAATGTTTATTCCTGAAGATTACTTCTTAACTGTTTCTAACAATAAAACAGTGGGCCCAAACACACAAGCATGATGACCTCTTTATCATATAATGTCATTCTTCAATTCTGTGCTCGAAAGTCTTTTTCATCTCTCACAAACATTACCTAAACATTGCGAGTTTTCCTGGAATGTGTGCATTAATATATTTTACGTCAGAGGGTAAGTGATCTGTCAGTAGGACAGTTACAACAGCCAATATAGTTCCATCTGAAACCTGTTTCTTATACAGTGGCGTAACTATATATATGAAAAACAACAATTGCCTACACAAATTGTTTTACTTGCCCTTCGTGGCAATCCATCAGTCTGTCCACTAAAGTAACTGCCCTTTATCAAAGGGAAGCTACTCTAACCCTAGTCTATGAAATGTCACGGCTACAGTCAGACGTTGACAGTCGGCCTGTCCCGTCATAAAATTACGAAGTGCAGCCTGATGTACAAACAGCGACAAAACGAAACAAGGTAACAATTCAAACATATTTCTGCCAAATCCAACTGTTTTCATTTGTGGAATTGGTTCCAAGCCGCAGAGGTCTACAAGCACAGATGTGGAAAGGGATCACATTTGGCTAGTGCCCCCGCAAAACTGTTTCACAATTTATATCTCCAAAGTTGCCAAAACTTGTAAAATGCCTTAGCTACGTCACAGTTAGACACTGATTTTGCAGCATATTAGACTGTTCTTTTGATAATGATAGCAATTATCCCAGTAGTTTCTCCAGATTCCCGATGGCTAATTCTGACGTGATCGCCAAATGACTGGGGCTACGCCATGTTTGTTTATAAAGAGTGAAAGTAGTCTCTACTTGACCTTGAAATTTGCATCTCTATCCACATATGACCCCAACAGATATCGTTTTTATCCGTTGGCTATATATCCTGCTGAGAAACGCACCCATTATTTGATAAATTATGTTATCTCGTAATCGCAAAATACTATTGAGTAAGACTTTGCATTGTTAAGCACTTTGACATATATTTGCATGTCATGATAGGAAAAAGCCATTGCTTAGGGTCTGTTTCAATCTCATTAAAATCAGATCTTAGTTCTCGCTATCGCTAAACAAAGATCTGAAAACATCCCGTTAGGGGTCACGTTAGAACAACCTTTCATCCAACCAATCAGAGCGTCGCTTACCAGATCATGAAAGTGACGGACGGAATGTGTTTTCTAATCATGCAACCTCAAAAAATTTAACAGAGGGTAATCCGAACGACAATTACGCGTTTTATGATTATATCCATACAATCTGGACCATCTATAAGCCATTCCAGAATGTTCTTTTTATCCGTTTTAAAATTTTAAATCACGATTATGTCAAAATATGTTTTGAAGCGCAGTCGCCAGTTTAAAACTTGTGTCGTAAAGATCGAGAAAACTGCCTTCTGATTGGCTAATGTTGATTCCTTGTCAGTCATTTCATTGGTCGGTCAAATTTCGCAAAAGGTCGTTCTGACCTGACCTGTAATGGGATGTCCTCAGATCTTTGTTTAGCAGTAGCGAAAACTAAGATCTTATTTTAATGCGATTGGGTCTGTTTTGCTATATTGTCTTCACAGATGTACACAAGCATCATACGTAATCTGCTGAAGATTTGTTAAGCCTGAAATTCAGCCTTTAAATTGCAAGGAATAGTCACTGTTATATATAAGTCACACTGCTCACTGGGATGCAAAGTGATCACATCGGAGTCAGACATAAAAAAATGTCAAATTTGAAGCCCTTCTTTTTCAAATTAGATTTTGTCCTTAAAACTTAGAATACTCTCTTCGATTTCTATCATGTCGAAAATGTATTTCAGCACATACTTTGAATATTGTAGTAACTACAAAATCTTATTTGTAATCAACAACTGTAAAATATCATTAATTTCAAAATGTCTACTGTTAATCCGTGAGAAAGAAGTTGTTGAAAATAAGCGTCAAAGGTGATGCGACCATCAATAAGTTGAACTGGCAACCGTATGTCGTTGTATCCCAATTGTGTGGATTGATGCTCATGATGTCATTTACTGGATTGTCTGGTCCAGACTTGATTTTCTACAGACCGGCGTCATATAGCTGGAATATTGCTGAATATTGTGTGGCATTAAACAACAAATAAACAAACAAACAAACATTTGATCACTGTTGTGAAGAGGAATACTCTTCCCCCAGCTATAATATTTTGTTTGTTTATGAATTTCTATTTCTATTTCATGTCAACTGTGATGTAAGTATTATAGTGAGACAGGGAAATAGTAAGTCTGTCGTAAACCTTTTTTCCTAATTACTAGAATGGCATTCCCAAAGACATACACAAGAATATATCTGTCACTTCATTTGGGCGAAGAGGGAACATTTCAAGATTCTTGTGATGTTTATTGTGCACTGGTTACAGCAATAGTCCTGGGAGGGAATTGAAGATATCACACGTCGGGCAGTAGCTTGCTATATTTAAGGTTTAATGCCACAGTATTTCAAATAGTGTAAAACGCGAAATTAATGCGTCTCCAAAAGAATGCAACCGCTGGCCCCTAGCCAAAAATGCGACTCAATATGAATGCGACACCCCCTCCTCTCAAGCATCAGTGGATTTATATCTAAACAAAATGTCCTCTGTCAGGTTTACAGGAGAATCCTCACCTTAATCCAACCTTATATTAATCCAATCACATACCAAATAGCATCGCTTATTAGCGCTGAGCAGAGTACTTCAGCTAAAACAATACGTGCGCGCTGGCTCGTGTCAGCCTTTGATGCAGTCGTCAAAGACACCGTGTTGGGTGGCGTCTGTCTGGACTTGCAGGTGTGATCAGTGATGACATGAGTAAGTAGAACGTTTGTCTTGACCCCAGCAGTGACAATTCACAGGATGTAATTAGTGTTTGAACGACATTGTTTATATACTTGTAATAAGTGCTGCTCAATAAACAGTGATGTGGAAAACATAGTTGTTTGTTTTCAGCGTATGTCTAAGTTGGTATTTCTGCTATCCAAAATGTCTTATTGTTGAGTTAAATGCGATGTTTAATAATGCGTTTTTCGCATTTAATTCACGCTCGCGTTAATATCAAGATTTACAGTAGTTCCTAGTGAGCCAGCTGAATATGCAGGGATTTCCCAAAGCGAATGTGCCGTACGTCTATGATCCATGTTGATCACATTAATGAAACCACGAACATAGGTACATTACTATGAGATGGCCGTAATCAAGATGAATTAGAACTCAAACCATCGTCAAGTGGATCCCAGGCAGGGCAAGGGAAGCAACTCTGCACATAAATCACTGAGCTGATATTGAGGGATTCTGTTGTGTGGAACAACCCATAATGGCATTATGACTTGAACAAAAAGTATCTTTGTGAATCTTTTACAAGAAATCTCACCCAGATCTTGTCTGGACACAGTAAAGTTGGTTCGGTGGCCTGACAGTCCTTTTTTGGTGGCTGCACGCAATGAAACACTACATCCACCACCATTTTCCCTTTCTACAAGCAGCGAGTAGAACGAAGTGTAGTTGTTGGTCATAGTCTCATATCGGATTATCTCCCCTTGTTGCTCTTCCTTCGGTACAGACTGAAAAAAAAATGCCAGCTCCATAAACCAAACTGTGCAAACAAGTATGACTTAAAATTTGAAAGTGGCATCTACTTGTTATCTATCAACTATCTAGATTTACAAGTCTAAAATATTGGGCTTTGTAAAAACTTTGTTTGTATCTAAGCATCAATGGTATGATATGTCAGTCCAATAACATTATTGGATAAGCTTTATGTATAACCCCCCCCCCCCCCCCCCATCCCTGTGTTGTGTGTAGGGGTGAACTATTCCTGTGACATATACATCAGCGTTGTGTGTAGAGGTGAACTAGTCCTGTGACATATACATCAGTGTTGTGTGTAGGGTGAACTATTCCTGTGACATATACATCAGTGTTGTGTGTAGAGGTGAACTAGTCCTGTGACATATACATCAGTGTTGTGTGTAGGGTGAACTATTCCTGTGACATATACATCAGTGTTGTGTGTAGAGGTGAACTAGTCCTGTGACATATACATCAGTGTTTTGTGTAGGGTGAACTAGTCCTGTGACATATACATCAGTGTTGTGTGTAGAGGTGAACTAGTCCTGTGACATATACATCAGTGTTTTGTGTAGGGTGAACTAGTCCTGTGACATATACATCAGTGTTGTGTGTAGGGTGAACTATTCCTGTGACATATACATCAGTGTTGTGTGTAGAGGTGAACTAGTCCTGTGACATATACATCAGTGTTTTGTGTAGGGTGAACTAGTCCTGTGACATATACATCAGTGTTGTGTGTAGGGTGAACTAGTCCTGTGACATATACATCAGTGTTGTGTGTAGAGGTGAACTAGTCCTGTGACATATACATCAGTGTTGTGTGTAGGGTGAACTAGTCCTGTGACATATACATCAGTGTTGTGTGTAGAGGTGAACTAGTCCTGTGACATATACATCAGTGTTGTGTGTAGGGTGAACTAGTCCTGTGACATATACATCAGTGTTGTGTGTAGAGGTGAACTAGTCCTGTGACATATACATCAGTGTTGTGTGTAGGGGTGAACTAGTCCTGTGACCAAGCATCAGTGTTGTGTGTAGAGGTGAACTAGTCCTGTGACCAAGCATCCATGTTGTGTGTAGGGGTGAACTAGTCCTGTGACCAAGCATCAGTGTTGTGTGTAGAGGTGAACTAGTCCTGTGACATATACATCAGTGTTGTGTGTAGGGGTGAACTAGTCCTGTGACCAAGCATCAGTGTTGTGTGTAGGGGTGAACTAGTCCTGTGACCAAGCATCAGTGTTGTGTGTAGGGGTGAACTAGTCCTGTGACCAAGCATCAGTGTTGTGTGTAGAGGTGAACTAGTCCTGTGACCAAGCATCAGTGTTGTGTGTAGAGGTGAACTAGTCCTGTGACATATACATCAGTGTTGTGTGTAGAGGTGAACTAGTCCTGTGACCAAGCATCAGTGTTGTGTGTAGGAGTGAACTAGTCCTGTGACCAAGCATCAGTGTTGTGTGTAGAGGTGAACTAGTCCTGTGACATATACATCAGTGTTGTGTGTAGGGGTGAACTAGTCCTGTGACCAAGCATCAGTGTTGTGTGTAGAGGTGAACTAGTCCTGTGACCAAGCATCAGTGTTGTGTGTAGAGGTGAACTAGTCCTGTGACATATACATCAGTGTTGTGTGTAGGGGTGAACTAGTCCTGTGACATATACATCAGTGTTGTGTGTAGAGGTGAACTAGTCCTGTGACATATACATCAGTGTTGTGTGTAGGGGTGAACTATTCCTGTGACCAAGCATCAGTGTTGTGTGTAGGGGTGAACTAGTCCTGTGACATATACATCAGTGTTGTGTGTAGGGGTGAACTAGTCCTGTGACCAAGCATCAGTGTTGTGTGTAGGGGTGAACTAGTCCAGTGACCAAGCATCAGTGTTGTGTGTAGAGGTGAACTAGTCCTGTGACCAAGCATCAGTGTTGTGTGTAGAGGTGAACTAGTCCTGTGACCAAGCATCAGTGTTGTGTGTAGAGGTGAACTAGTCCTGTGACCAAGCATCAGTGTTGTGTGTAGGGGTGAACTAGTCCTGTGACCAAGCATCAGTGTTGTGTGTAGAGGTGAACTAGTCCTGTGACATATACATCAGTGTTGTGTGTAGGGGTGAACTAGTCCTGTGACCAAGCATCAGTGTTGTGTGTAGAGGTGAACTAGTCCTGTGACATATACATCAGTGTTGTGTGTAGGGGTGAACTAGTCCTGTGACCAAGCATCAGTGTTGTGTGTAGAGGTGAACTAGTCCTGTGACATATACATCAGTGTTGTGTGTAGGGGTGAACTAGTCCTGTGACCAAGCATCAGTGTTGTGTGTAGAGGTGAACTAGTCCTGTGACCAAGCATCAGTGTTGTGTGTAGGGGTGAACTAGTCCTGTGACCAAGCATCAGTGTTGTGTGTAGGGGTGAACTAGTCCTGTGACATATACATCAGTGTTGTGTGTAGGGGTGAACTAGTCCTGTGACCAAGCATCAGTGTTGTGTGTAGAGGTGAACTAGTCCTGTGACCAAGCATCAGTGTTGTGTGTAGAGGTGAACTTTTCCTGTGACTGTGCATCAGTGTTGTGTGTAGGGGTGAACTAGTCCTGTGACCAAGCATCAGTGTTGTGTGTAGAGGTGAACTATTCCAGTGACCAAGCATCAGTGTTGTGTGTAGGGGTGAACTATTCCTGTGACATATACATCAGTGTTGTGTGTAGGGGTGAACTAGTCCTGTGACCAAGCATCAGTGTTGTGTGTAGGGGTGAACTAGTCCTGTGACCAAGCATCAGTGTTGTGTGTAGGGGTGAACTATTCCTGTGACATATACATCAGTGTTGTGTGTAGGGTGAACTATTCCTGTGACATATACATCAGTGTTGTGTGTAGGGGTGAACTAGTCCTGTGACATACACATCAGTGGTTGAAGTATTCCAAGCCTTACCTTGGGGTACAACATGAGTGTTGTGGAGTTTATGACACTGAAGGACCCACTGGGTATCACTGGACTGGACAGAGGAACTAGCAAACAAACATTGACATCATTAAACGTACACATTGGTATTTTCAATTATAATTCCATATTAGTGAGTAATTTATTTGAAGCTGTTTTCAACAGTGCTCCAGTTGTGTGGGAGAAAACCTGCCTGTCAACCCAGGGGTAAAATGGCTCCTTTTCCTGTGCCAGTTGTGGCCTGACATGAGGATTTGTGGGAGACAATGCAGAGAAACCAACTCTAATTAAACTTCGGAGTAATCAGTGGGATAAAAAAGTGTACATTTGTGTGAAAAAGTGAGCTAGTGAGTTGTGTTGTGCCGCCTTTAACAGTATTCCAATTATACTGCGGCGTGTCAGCTTGATGTGGGAGGAAAGCCCGAAGTGATGCAGGTCTCAGACGTTTACCACTTCGGTGAAACCCATTAGCACGGGTATAGTGCTGACAAACCTAGAAACAAAATCGGGGCAAACCAGGATTCGGACCCCCAATCATAGGTTTCTGGTGTGCCCAAGGGACACAAGTCTGCACAGCGAATCACGGCGTCTTATATGACTTGGCCACCCGTGACCCCTGTGTGAAAAAGAGTGATGTTAGGAGTACCATGCCATGATGAAGGTTTTCGCTTTGCCATTTTTGTTAGGCCGATTCGTACATGAAGCATGGGTACACATGCACTGACGCTAGTAGTCATAGCTGCACACGAGAGCCCTAGTTATTCAAAAGGGGCAAAAAAAGCTCCAAATATGCAGAAAAGAGACTCCACTCACGTCTGTATGGTTAAATATGACAAAACCTCAAAACTGAATATCAATCCAAACATCGAAGAAAAATTGAGATCAACATCGAAAGAGTACTCGAAAACAGAAGTTCCATAATGGTATGTGAAAACCTCATCAGCGACAAACATCGGGGCCACATTTCAAAGATGTATTTTGAATAACTTGGGTAATAATAGTTTATAAATCATGTACGAAAGCATTTAATTTAACCTGTTGTGTTGGGCCAAGTCCCCCTAAAGAGGTGACAAAAATTGGCTTTGAAAACACTGCATTCATGCCGAAACACATGATCAAAGCTCCACACATTAATAGAATTGATCATGTGACAATCATGGTGTGTCGGGTTCGGTGTACATGCAGTTAGCTCCCTGTAGAAGGCTTCAAGTTATTGGTGCTTTAACAATTTTCTTTTTGTGATATTTAATACATGTAAATAATTCCTGAAAAAAATGTCACAAAATTTAATTTGGGGAGGATAAGCTTAATAGCGTAGTTTCAGTTTAAAAAGCGTAATGGTTGGCATCTCTGGACATTGTTCGGCCTTCTGATGGCATGTCAGATGGGGGGTGAGCAACATCTGAAGCAACATCAGTCATATTTTGTACAATTGTTCTTGTATACATCACTGTTCATCCAATAAACTATGTCGGTGGGTATGGTGCCGGCAGGACAGCACATTAATTACAAAAATAATGCTGGGTTCTTGGCCGCTGCTTCTACAGCGACAGTCCAAATCTTCCTGCCTGCTGTTTCCGCGGGACAGAGTACAAAGTTCCCATAGCTATACCCGTCTGCCTTGCCATGGTGGAGGGCCACAACTATGTTTCACACGCAGACTGTCCAATAGGTGCCATCCACACCGTGCCCTATTTTCATCCACAAGCCTCTTTCTCTCATTTATTATATTTACCTTCCTTCTAAACTTTATAACATTCCGCCATACAATATGACTATAAAGGTCTGCATCTAAATAATAGGCCATTTATATTGCCCATATTTCCACACCACACATGGGCATGCTCACAGTGCTATTATTACCCAGGTCACTGGATCAGTGTACACACAAGAATCATTCTCAGCTCCCTGGGGAGTATACAACCCAAGCTGCCTGTTAGGTGCTAGAGGGCTAACAACCACATTGCCATGTCAATGGATGCTTCATTTAGTGGGGGCAGTCAAGGTTTGCTCAGAGTGAAATATCGGAGTCATCTTGACCAATCTCAAGAAATAAAATACAAGCATTTCTGAAGAAAAAATCCCACATTAATGAATAATTTTGTTCAAAATATATGGAAGCAGTGAATGCCACCTGCTTCAGGAAAGAAGAAAATCACTGCTAAGGAATTTTTGTTGAAACATTACTCACCATCTTCCTCTGTCCGGACATTGATGGTGGTGGGGTCTCCGCGGTAGGCTCTGTCCGCTGTTACTGTAATGTTGTAACTCGTCCATGCTGAAAGTCCCTTGATTCTTTTCTTCACATGATATCTTTTCTTGTGTATGTGTAGCTATTAGAGATAAAAAAAAAAGGGATACTGTATATGTCCGTAGATAAGCTGAATTTTGAGGACCAGAAAAAAGATTTTGTAGAAAGGGGTCAGCTTATCCACGGGACACACTTTCATGATAGTTATATTTTTCAGATTGTGATCTGTCAGAAACATTGCCTGAATGACGGTCTGATAGATTACAACTTTCCGAAAGTTTGGAAGTTGCTATGACTACAGCCATTATTGTTATAAATTATCAATAAAGTTTGTTAAATCTTTATTAGAAATTATAATATCAATATAATTACAACATTTTTCATCTTATAATTAGTGAGTGAGTGAGTTGGGTCTAATGCCGCTTTTAACAGTATTCCAGTTATATCGTGGCGTGTCAGCTTAATATGGGAGGAAAGCCCAAAGTGATGCAGGTCTCAGACGTTTACCACTTCGGTGAAACCCATGAGCAAGGCTATGGTGCTGACAAACCTAGAAACATAATCTGGGCGAACCGGGATTCGAACCCACAATCATAGGTTTCTGGCTTGCCCAACTCTTCACATCAAATCGCGGAGCCTTAGAAGACTTGATTTGACATGTAGATACATAGGATTTAAGTTTTCAAATGTGCCAGCATTGTTTTTCATTCTGAAGTCTACACTGATAACAGGCAAAGATTTCATTTCTTGGTTCAAAATGGATTTTTCTTAAAAAACAATGGCGTCAGTGATGGAAAGTAATAAAAAAATCTTAAAAAACAACATCTTGACAAAATGATGTCAGAGGAATAAAATAAAGAGCATGTGTAATTTCGACTGACAAGTCTCAGTTACCTCCCTTCCCTGATGACCTGTTATAAAGTCTTTTTCATGAGGGACCATCATCCATTTAATATTCAGTGGTGGCTGAGATTTTTGTCAAAGCTAGAATGTTTTTGGGGTTTGGGCTTTGTAAGAGACATACTCATATTTTCTGTGAAAGGAGTTGAAAGTATGTTTTTTGTCACACATTTTCCCCGAACATCCAGCATGATCAGTCAACAATTTTTCGTTAGAAAAATCTGCAGCACAATTGTTTTTTATCTTACCATGAACATTAACAAGCACATTTCAGTGCAAGAGACAAGAGAGTACAAAGTTCCCCTAGTTATATCCGTCACCCTTGCCACAGCGGAGGGCCACAACTATGCTTCGTAGGCAAACTATCCCGTCGGTGCCATCAACACAGAGCCCTATTTTCATTCACAATCCTCTTTCCCTCATTTATCATATTTACCTTCCTTCTAAACTTTTTAACATACCGCCGCACAATATCACTATAAAGCTCTGCATCTAATAATAGGCTTTTTATATTGCTCATATTTCCACGCCACTCAGAGGCATGCACAAAGCGCCATTATTACCCCGGTCACTGGATCAGTGTGCACAAAAGAATCATTCACAGCACCCTGGGGAGTATACAACCCAAGCTGCCTGTTAGGTAGGGCTGGGACGGGTAACTCGGGTACCCAGGTCAGGTGGGTCCTGAATAGGACCCGGGTACCCACAGGACTACCCGGACCCGTTGTTTGTCACATATATGATATATATTGTTTGATGACAAAAAATATCTAAAACTCTATGATTACACTATAAGTCACTAATAAATATCCCATTTCTTTCTGACAATGCACCCATTCCTTCTGACTTTTATATGTTTTAATAAAGATAAAACTTCATACATTAAACTTCAGTGTATGCATGAGCGGATCGTCTTACATGTGAATCTGAAAACAATTTTGACAGGGCTAAGGTCAAACCTTTCCAAATCGGACAGTTTGTACCTATCTCTAAATATCTACAGCGGGTACCAAGGTAGGGTTGGGTAATAGGGTGGTGGGTACCTGGGTAGGGTCGGGTAATAGGGTGGAGGGTACCCGTGTAGGGTCGGGTAATAGGGTGGTGGGTACCCGGGTAGTAAATTTGGACCCGTCCCAGCCCTAGTGTTAGGTGCTAGAAGGTTGGATTTCACCTGATATGCTAATGGGTCAGCTACCCTGGTACACACATTGATATCTTACTTCAAGAGCATGTGTGTTGATATCTGAATCTGTGGTATGACTACAAACATTTAATTGATTCATTCTACCATATACTGAAAAAATAAACAATAAAATAAACATGCAAGTTCAACAAACAGCAAAGACTAGTCGTCCATGAACCGAAACTGACCTCCCGAGAGCCTTTTGGACCTCCGGTGATCCTGAGTGTATAGTTGTAGCCATCTTTGTCATCAGGATCGGGTTTAGTCCAGGTGAGTTTGATGAAACTTAGGCCAATTTTGACTTCTCCTAAATTTCCTACAGGACCTGGTTTCTCTGAAATTGTATTTCAAGGACATGCATTCTTAAAAAGGTAGGAAGGAGGATCACTTTGGCAAACCACGGCCCATGTATTCATATGCTTGAGAATAAGATTTTGGTGATTTTTGATTTTTGGAAAGCATTTTTCGAATATGTAATGATGATGCAAGTATTTCATCCAAATTGATTTTCGTTGAAAAACAGTATTAATTTGGCATGGATTCATCTTGGGTCAAAGGCTTCCTAATACTTCTGAAGTCTGGAATTGTTTTGTTTTAGCCATATTTATGTATTTGATCATGTCAAAAGTTATAAGAAGTGTAAGAAAGAAAGAAAACTGTTTGATGGTTGACATCATTTGATTTCCACAGGCCAAATAGTATAGGGCCCTTACCCCACCTTTCTATTTCACAGGCCAAATAGTATAGGGCCCTTACCCCACCTTTCTACTTCACAGGCCAAATAGTATAGGGCCCTTACCCCACCTTTCTACTTCACAGGCCAAATAGTATAGGGCCCTTACCCCACCTTTCTATTTCACAGGCCAAATAGTATAGGGCCCTTACCCCACCTTTCTACTTCACAGGCCAAATAGTATAGGGCCCTTACCCCACCTTTCTACTTCACACTACGGACGTGACAGGTGGGATGTATGACTGGGAGATGTGACAGGTGGGAGATGTGACAGGTGGGATGTATGACTGGTAGATGTGACAGGTGGGAGATGTGACAGATGGGATGTATGACTGGTAGATGTGACAGGTGGGAGATGTGACAGGTGGGATGTATGAATGGGAGATGTGACAGGTGGGATGTATGACTGGGAGATGTGCCAGGTGGGATGTATGACTGGGAGATGTGACAGGTGGGATGTATGACTGGGAGATGTGACAGGTGGGATGTATGACTGGGAGATGTGACAGGTGGGATGTATGATTGGGAGATGTGACAGGTGGGATGTATGATTGGGAGATGTGACAGGTGGAGGATATGACAGGTGGGAGATATGACAGGTGGGATGTATGACTGGGAGATGTGACAGGTGGGATGTATGACTGGGAGATGTGACAGGTGGGATGTATGACTGGGAGATGTGACAGGTGGGATGTATGATTGGGAGATGTGACAGGTGGGATGTATGTCTGGGAGATGTGACAGGTGGGAGATGTGACAGGTGGGATGTATGTCTGGGAGATGTGACAGGTGGGATGTATGACTGGGAGATGTGACAGGTGGGATGTATGATTGGGAGATGTGACAGATGGGATGTATGATTGGGAGATGTGACAGGTGGGATGTATGATTGGGAGATGTGACAGATGGGATGTATGATTGGGAGATGTGACAGGTGGGATGTATGACTGGGAGATATGACAGGTGGGATGTATGACTGGGAGATGTGACAGGTGGAGGATGTGACAGGTGGGAGATGTGACAGGTGGGATGTATGACTGGGAGATGTGACAGGTGGGATGTATGATTGGGAGATGTGACAGTTGGGATGTATGATTGGGAGATGTGACAGGTGGGATGTATGTCTGGGAGATGTGACAGGTGGGATGTATGTCTGGGAGATGTGACAGGTGGAGGATGTGACAGGTGGTAGATATGACAGGTGGGATGTATGACTGGGAGATGTGACAGGTGGGATGTATGACTGGGAGATGTGCCAGGTGGGATGTATGACTGGGAGATGTGACAGGTGGGATGTATGACTGGGAGATGTGACAGGTGGGATGTATGACTGGGAGATGTGACAGGTGGGATGTATGATTGGGAGATGTGACAGATGGGATGTATGTCTGGGAGATGTGACAGGTGGAGGATGTGACAGGTGGGAGATGTGACAGGTGGGATGTATGACTGGGAGATGTGACAGGTGGGAGATGTGACAGGTGGGATGTATGACTGGTAGATGTGACAGGTGGGAGATGTGACAGGTGGGATGTATGACTGGGAGATGTGACAGGTGGGATTTATGATTGGGAGATGTGACAAGTGGGATGTATGACTGGGAGATGTGACAGATGGGATGTATGTCTGGGAGATGTGACAGGTGGGATGTATGATTGGGAGATGTGACAGGTGGGATGTATGTCTGGGAGATGTGACAGGTGGGAGATGTGACAGGTGGGATGTATGACTGGGAGATGTGACAGGTGGAGGATATGACAGGTGGGAGATATGACAGGTGGGAGATGTGACAGGTGGGATGTGACAGGTGGGATGTATGTCTGGGAGATGTGACAGGTGGGATGTATGTCTGGGAGATGTGACAGGTGGAGGATGTGACAGGTGGGAGATATGACAGGTGGGATGTATGACTGGGAGATGTGACAGGTGGGATGTATGACTGGGAGATGTGACAGGTGGGATGTATGACTGGGAGATGTGACAGGTGGGATGTATGATTGGGAGATGTGACAGATGGGATGTATGATTGGGAGATGTGACAGGTGGGATGTATGATTGGGAGATGTGACAGATGGGATGTATGATTGGGAGATGTGACAGGTGGGATGTATGACTGGGAGATATGACAGGTGGGATGTATGTCTGGGAGATGTGACAGGTGGAGGATGTGACAGGTGGGAGATGTGACAGGTGGGATGTATGACTGGGAGATGTGACAGGTGGGAGATGTGACTGGGAGATGTGACAGGTGGAGGATGTGACAGGTGGGAGATGTGACAGGTGGGATGTATGACTGGGAGATGTGACAGGTGGGATGTATGACTGGGAGATGTGACAGGTGGGATGTATGACTGGGAGATGTGACAGTTGGGATGTATGATTGGGAGATGTGACAGATGGGATGTATGATTGGGAGATGTGACAGGTGGGATGTATGTCTGGGAGATGTGACAGGTGGAGGATGTGACAAGTGGGGATGTGACAGGTGGGATGTATGACTGGGAGATGTGACAGGTGGGATGTATGACTGGGAGATGTGACAGTTGGGATGTATGATTGGGAGATGTGACAGGTGGGATGTATGTCTGGGAGATGTGACAGGTGGGATGTATGACTGGGAGATGTGCCAGATGGGATGTATGTCTGGGAGATGTGACAGGTGGGATGTATGACTGGGAGATGTGACAGGTGGGATGTATGACTGGGAGATGTGACAGATGGGATGTATGATTGGGAGATGTGACAGTCGGGATGTATGTCTGGGAGATGTGACAGGTGGAGGATGTGACAAGTGGGGATGTGACAGGTGGGATGTATGACTGGGAGATGTGACAGGTGGGATGTATGACTGGGAGATGTGACAGTTGGGATGTATGATTGGGAGATGTGACAGTTGGGATGTATGACTGGGAGATGTGACAGGTGGGATGTATGACTGGGAGATGTGCCAGATGGGATGTATGACTGGGAGATGTGACAGGTGGGATGTATGACTGGGAGATGTGACAGGTGGGATGTATGACTGGGAGATATGACAGGTGGGATGTATGTCTGGGAGATGTGACAGATGGGATGTATGATTGGGAGATGTGACAGGTGGGATGTATGACTGGGAGATATGAAAGGTGGGATGTATGACTGGGAGATGTGACAGGTGGGATGTATGACTGGGAGATGTGACAGGTGGGATGTATGATTGGGAGATGTGACAGGTGGGATGTATGACTGGGAGATATGACAGGTGGGATGTATGTCTGGGAGATGTGACAGATGGGATGTATGATTGGGAGATATGACAGATGGGATGTATGACTGGGAGATATGACAGGTGGGATGTATGTCTGGGAGATGTGACAGGTGGGATGTATGACTGGGAGATGTGACAGGTGGGATGTATGACTGGGAGATGTGACAGATGGGATGTATGATTGGGAGATGTGACAGGTGGGATGTATGACTGGGAGATATGACAGGTGGGATGTATTTCTGGGAGATGTGACAGGTGGAGGATGTGACAAGTGGGGATGTGACAGGTGGGATGTATGACTGGGAGATGTGACAGGTGGGATGTATGACTGGGAGATGTGACAGTTGGGATGTATGATTGGGAGATGTGACAGGTGGGATGTATGTCTGGGAGATGTGACAGGTGGGATGTATGTCTGGGAGATGTGACAGGTGGAGGATGTGACAGGTGGTAGATATGACAGGTGGGATGTATGACTGGGAGATGTGACAGGTGGGATGTATGACTGGGAGATGTGCCAGGTGGGATGTATGACTGGGAGATGTGACAGGTGGGATGTATGACTGGGAGATGTGACAGGTGGGATGTATGACTGGGAGATGTGACAGGTGGGATGTATGATTGGGAGATGTGACAGATGGGATGTATGTCTGGGAGATGTGACAGGTGGAGGATGTGACAGGTGGGAGATGTGACAGGTGGGATGTATGACTGGGAGATGTGACAGGTGGGAGATGTGACAGGTGGGATGTATGACTGGGAGATGTGACAGGTGGGATTTATGATTGGGAGATGTGACAAGTGGGATGTATGACTGGGAGATGTGACAGATGGGATGTATGACTGGGAGATGTGACAGGTGGGATGTATGACTGGGAGATGTGACAGGTGGGATGTATGACTGGGAGATGTGACAGGTGAGAGATGTGACAGGTGGGATGTATGACTGGGAGATGTGACAGGTGGGATGTATGACTGGGAGATGTGACAGGTGGAATGTATGACTGGGAGATGTGACAGGTGGGATGTATGACTGGGAGATGTGACAGGTGGGATGTATGACTGGGAGATGTGACAGGTGGGATGTATGACTGGGAGATGTGACAGGTGGGATGTATGACTGGGAGATGTGACAGGTGGGAGATGTGACAGATGGGATGTATGACTGGGAGATGTGACAGGTGGGATGTATGACTGGGAGATGTGACAGGTGGGATGTATGACTGGGAGATGTGACAGGTGGGGATGTGACAGGTGGGATGTATGACTGGGAGATGTGACAGGTGGGATGTATGACTGGGAGATGTGACAGGTGGGATGTATGACTGGGAGATGTGACAGGTGGGATGTATGA